CTTTTATTTTTTGTTATCTTCATAATCTATTTTATTTAGCTGCAGTAGCGGTCAGCAGATTAGGAGTTGAGTTTGGGGTTGATATGGTGGCTTGTCTGAGAATCAGGGAGCGCCCAGCTACAAATTCATATTCGTACTCGTAGTATCTTTAGCTTATCATGAATTTTGGGTTTTTTTTTTCTTCCTTGATGTTAGCTGCAATGCGTTTCCCTTTTAACACTGTTGCCTCATTGGGCTTTTCTACCGTCCATTGTGGAATTTGGAAGCTTATTATGGGAATTTTTCTATTTTCTTTTTGAATAAACCCTGGAAAATATTGTTCGTAATAGGATTCTTCCTTTTCTGGTCATTTTTGGGGCTGAGTGTTCGTTCTATTTCATACCACCATTTTTGCAGGGGTATATGTTGCAAATCGGGCTTCTGACAAAATTACACAACTGACAGATAATGTCTATGTTTGTCGCTCGGGATCGGTAGCACTCTTCCTATTTCAAGATTCTTGCTAGTTATTTTATTGGTTGATTTGTTATCTGATGTTTTGCTTCACTTACTCTTTATTGTTGGATTCAACTTGGTTTGCTGTTTTAAATCTAGAATAATATGCAGTTTCAAATATTCTTGCAATCAATTATCTGGACAAGAGGTAGCAAGTATGTATTTTCTAATAATAAGGTGACAGGAATTGTATGGGTGTTTACAAAGACTGTACCATCGTCATATTATTATTGAACAACCATATTATTCTTATCAAGCAGATGCGACATAAATATTATGACGGTTTAGAGCTATGATTAACCAGTTTTACCTAGGTCTGGCTTTTATAAATTCAATGTGTTGGTGGATAACTGTGCTTTTGGCTGTTTAATAATGTTAGTGAATGCTTAGATCCTCATTCTTCTGCGCATTCTGTTTCTACTTTTTATAATTTACCCCTGGGCATATATCTTTTCAGCTTATAGATATTAACATTTTGGGGAAGATTGGAAATTGAATGATCCAGTATTATTTTCTCTCATTCTTTTGGTTATTAGTTCTAACCTTGACTCTGTCTCTTCATTAAGGCTGATTTATTTATTAACCTTTTTCAGGCCGCAGATTCACAGATTGTGTCTGATTATGTCCGCTACTTCCTTCACCAACACACGTTAGTGAATCCAACTCCTATTTATACTAATAGAATATTATGAAGTTTGAAATAAAGGTTTGGCCTTTTGGGTTATATGGATGAACAAACATTATTCAAGTTAGTTGCTTGGAGGCTCCTTTCCTCGATGGCCTGTTTGATTTTCTTATTACATGAAATGTTTCCTTTAAATTGGATAATGTCACTCCTGTACTTTCAAAGTGTCTTGGTTTTTTTTTTTTTGGTTGTAATTTAATGTATTTTCTATGCACTGTCCCTCAGGCTTATATACTCTCATGTTAGTGTTTCTATTGACCATATAATATTTTTTCCCGATGTTAATTCTTTGCTTATTGCAATTTTTATGGCTCTAGCTTTGTTGCTCTCATTGCTAGTTTCCCTTTTTGTACAGAGTACAGCTTGGACAACCTGCTACTGTCAAAGTGGCTGCAAACCTTGTCCGCCTTCTATCCTATAACAACAAGGTCCAATTTTAAGATTTTTATCTTTTTTGTTGGGAATATATTGCTGAGTTTCTCACAAGAATTGAATTAGCTGATTGCTGGGAATAGTTGATTAAAAGTGTACTCGCCTCATAAGAAATTTACAATGCAATCTTCGTATTGATAATGAATAATTCTGACTCTCTTGCCTTCATAGTCGATCATAGATTATATGTTTCCTACAAGATGGAAGATATCTAGCCTTTCTAGTTGCTTTCCCCCCGCCTTTTGTGCATGCGTGCTATGTTTTTTTTTTTTTTGGGGGGGGGGGTGATGTTTATTATGCTTTCTTGTACTGTCATATAGTATAATCTGAATGTTTCATGTCTTGTGACATTATGATAGTAATTGTGATGTCATAAAAGGTGTTAAGTTTCAGACGAGGTGGTAGAGAAATATAAATTCTGCTATTATGAGAGGAATATGAGATAACTGTGTTAGATTGACGGAGTTCTTATCTTTTTAGGGTTTCTTGAACAGTTGAACTCATAGGCTATTTTATTATCTGGTTTTGCTGAAAATCTATTATTATTGACAGAATTTTTTAGAGACTGGCTTAATTATTGGTGGATGGGACAAATATGAAGGGGGTCAAATTTATGCAGTTCCTTTGGGGGGAACAATAGTACAGCAGCCTTTTGCTATTGGAGGTAATTTAACATTAACGTTGTGATCAAATGCAATTACCATCATAATTTGTGCGTGTGGTTATGCACTTAAACATGGTACCTGTTCTACCTTGGTTTGTTATCATCATTTGACCTGGTATAGTTCTTGTTTAGTGATGGAATTTTCTGGCAGAGATTACCAGTTTTGAAATTCTTGCCTTCAAATGTTTAATTGTATTATTTTGCCCATTGTATATATCAAGCTGAAAATCCTTGTCCCCAATTGTGTGTTGGCGTTTTTCACTTTGTATACATCTTTCTTTAATTCTTTGTCCGTTTCAAGTACTGCTTTTTTGTTAGATGCTTAGAATTTTTTTAATCCAGCTATGATTGATATGATGTGTTTGACAGGATCTGGCTCAAGTTACTTGTATGGTTTTTTTGACCAAGCATGGAAAGAAGGAATGACCAAGGATGAAGCAGAGGTATGGGTGTTGGTTTTTGCCAGTGCCTGCGTAAAACTAAATGAATAAGTTAACCTAAATCACTGCCGTGGTTCCTAAATTTTGAGCCAAGTATTGATTTTGTCCCAAAAGTTTTATTTGGTTCAATTTTGTCCTACCTTGTTTCAAGTTCCGATGTTATATCAACCTATTGGATCCATCAACCTAAATGGTGGAAATTACATACCTGTTACTTCTTCGTGTCTATGTAGCATTCTAATAGTCAAATATTCTTCCTTGCTTTTTGTTCTTTTATTTTCCTTCTCCCTTTTTCTCTTCATCCTCAAAGAAGTTTGAGAGGAGGAAATGACCATGGATGCGGGGCATGGTAGGAGATTAACTCGGACAATTAGACATTTGACCATCATTCCTTAGCCATGATGTTCTCTCCCCAAATTAACGTGTGTCCATAAAAGTATTCAGGCAATGCTCCATCGAGCAGCACAAGATAGGCAGTCGACTGAGTGTTGTGTGGTCGTTAATCTCTTGCATCTGATCTGAAAATGTAGGGAATAAGAGAAGGGGAAGAAAGAGAAAGAATGCTTGACCATTAGAATGTCATGTATGCTTGACGATAAGTCAGCAGGGCAGTTATTGCTGCTTAATAGGAAAACATTAAACCTTTTTTAGTAATGAGAATTGGAGTTACTGAAACTACTGAGATGAATTTGAAACCTGACTCAGACATCAGGGACAAACCACATTTTAGCCGAGCTGTAAAGCAAATAGCCAAATAGAACAATTGGACAGGATTTTTTGAGTCATTATTGAGTGCTACATTAGTTAGTCACCTTATCATTCATGATTTGGGGACTTGCACGATTAAATTCTTTCATTTTCGGTGATTTTTTCTAGAGTTTTGTTGCTAATGGTTTTTTTGTGCCTTAATGACAGGAATTAGTAAGAAAGGCAGTTTCACTGGCTATCGCACGTGATGGGGCAAGTGGTGGTGTTGTCCGCACTGTGATTGTTAGTATTTTCTTCCTTATTCTTTCTTGTGGAAAATGCACATGCAATTGCTATCAGGTCCTTTCACCCAAATGATAATTATGAATTTTCAATAATAATATAACTAGGATTAAGCTTCATAGATAAACGCTATTCACTTGTGTTTTAATTCTCAGAAGTTACGTGCTTATTTATCAATGCAAAATATAAATGATACGAGGCAGTTTGATTGATTTTGTAGATTTTGTATAGTGTATGGTACTCATGGTTGGTTATATTTTTAGTGAAATGGAATGAACAATTTGATAGTAATATCTAAGATCATTTGGTTTTGTGATTACGTTGGAAAATCACGTAATCTTATTTCCCTGTTTGCTGTGTAGATAAATTCCGAAGGAGTGACAAGGAACTTCTACCCGGGAGACAAACTTCCTCTGTGGCATGAGGAGCTGGAACCACAGAATTCTCTGTTGGACATTCTTAGCACTCCAAGTCCTGAGCCCATGGACGTATAGGGCCTTTGTCACGCGACTTGCTTTCTGTGCTATGTTTGGAACCGACTGTATACTTGCAATATGCTTATATATTATCGCTTGACAATTTTTTTCAAGAGACAATTATGATAAAAGGATTATTAGTTCTTTAACAGCTAATGAGTTGTGGAGAATTCCTTGTATAATTATTGCTTCTAAAACTTTCGAAGGACCGAATTTTTCCCTTGTTCAAACTAAGAAGCCGAACAGTCATTCGAATTACTTGGATGTAGGGGCCGAATTTAATGAATTATTTTTACCAACAGACACATCAAAATAATTCCTTATGGCAGAAAGCCCAAATAATTACTGATATTCATATGGGACCTGATGCCTAATATAGAACAGCTAGGGAGAGTTTTATCCCGAAAGTTAAAAAGGGGTGGTGGGGGAGAGAGGGTATGTGCTTGGTCCCAGAATCTTGGAATGCCATTTCTGTCCAGGTAAAATGTACAAGTTGATTTTAACTTATAATTATTAATTATTAAATATCATTAAAGTATTCCTTCGCTATCCGATTTTAAGATTAAAATTGTATATAAGTTGAAGTGAGTGTAAAAGATACATTAGCACCTATTTACTTTTATTATTGGTATAAAGAACATCATTTATTAATTATTACCAAAAAAATAAAAAAAGAACATTGCTGGCAAAAAAAGAAGTAATTAAAGAACATTGATGACGGCTATAGAATTGGTCAGATAAATAGAATAAAAAGAAGTGAACTCCATCCTCACCTCAGCGCCCTCTTTAAAATCTAATTATAATAATTTTATTTTATCCTATGAGACCTGCGATTGATTGAGCTTAAAAGTGCAGAGAAGCAGCGGGAGTGAATTAGAGAAGATGAGTGCGGTTAGTTCTGTCAGCATTCCGAATCAGTTCCACAACGTCTTCGTCTATGGCAGTCTCTTAGCCGACGACGTCGTTCAAGTCCTTCTCAAGCGCGTTCCTCCTTCTGCCCCTGCCACCCTGCCCGACCAGTTTGTCTATCTCTCCCTCTCTCATCAATTTGATTACTGATTTGAAACTTTTTGTACGATCGGCCACTTTAGTTTCCTATCTACATAAATAGCGTGGGAATTCTAATCAAGGAAATTCAAAATGCTTGAACCACCGGTCTCCTATTCACAAGTTATCAACGATGGTGCTGCTCCATCCTTGGAGCGCAACCCTTCGAGACTTTCCCTTTTTATGTCTCCCTATGGGAACCACAATGTTTGATCTTAGGGGTTTGGGCATTTGATCACTTTTTTTCCATCGTTTATGTTCTTGGGACTGTTAACTTAGTTGTTGATTTGACTTGCAGTCATAGATTTAGCATCAAAGGTCGTGTTTATCCCGCTATTCTGCCTGTGGAGGATAAGAAAGTCACTGGAAGGGTCTGTAATATCCCTGACCTTATTAACGTCAATGTATTGGTTTAGTCATAACTTATACGATCCGGAAATACTTGCTTATGCATCTTCGTATAGGCATCACTTAATACCTGAATCTCCCGAGCTAGCCATCTATCTACGTCCTGTTCAGTAGTTTTTCATCATTTCCTTGTTTTGAATGGAAACCTACGTTGTTCTCACATTGCTGACCATATCTATAAATTTTAAGCTTGGATGTATAGAAGCAACATCTTACTCCGAGTTAGGTTAAAATCTGATCTTGCAAGAAATAAATACGTCCTAACTGATTGCAACGTTTTATCTCCATAGCTTACGAGCAAATCTGATCTCGTGCCTGTGTAAAATTATTGAAGGTGCAAGAAAATACATACGTCCTAAGTCACTGTTTATCCTTTTCCTTTCTTATGTATGGCATGGTTGTGGAGTTATGTGATACATTCCCTGTTTCATTAGTTTCTCTTTTCTCACCGACAATTGTTCAAACAGCATGTGGGGTGGTCATCTTGAGTAACTCATTCCTTTTCCTTTCTTTCTGGTCAGGTCCTGCAAGGCATCTCAGATTTGGAATTATTTATTTTGGACGAGTTTGAGGATATTGAATATGAAAGAAGTGATGTTCATGTTTATTTGAAGGCAAGTTTGACAGTATCTAAAACAATTTTCTTTCTCCTTCTCAGCATCATTGCATATTTGCATTACAAGTTGCATTAATCAACCTAAGAACAAATGAAGAAAAAGACTGAAGGACAGATTGAATAGGGTATAGGTCCACAAAGTGGGTCAACAAATTTGAATCAAAATTTTAATTGATGAGTGAGGACGGTGTGGCTATTTATATATCCCAAATTTAACATATAAATACACTGCATCTGTGCTGTTGGGAAAATACTAATAAAAAAGACAATAATTGCAGGATAATTCTGAAAAGTTACAAGCTCATACTTACATTTGGAGCAACAAAAGCGACCCAAACGTGTATGGAGATTGGGATTTTGAGGTGAGCAGCCAAGCTTTATTTTTGAAATTATTGAAAATTACAAAATTGATCCCAGTCTCTATCTTTAAAGTTTTAGAACATAATTGAATGGCTACACAACCAGGAAAAAGATACAGGTCAGTTGTGGTTGCCTTCTTTCAAACCTTACATAATATGCGAAGTGACTAGCAAGATTTGGAGTTTCAGAGCATTCATGAAATGTTTCTCACTTCAATGTCTGTGTTGTTTTCTTGCTCATGAAAATTGGACGGTGTTTTTAAATAAATGTTTGACATTCCTTTTAAGTTTTTCCTCATATTTTCCTATAGTTTTAGGTGGGAAAGTTTTTCAGATCTGTTAAACACTGTCACAATTTATTGTTTGCTTAGATCTGTCCTCTTCGGTAGCTTTTGGTATGTGAACAATCTAATTTCTCAAGTATTTGAGAACTTATTTATAAAAAATTTAGGCAAAAATTGTATGAAAAAGAAAATTGCTATGATATTTAGGACAGTTAAAACGCTAATTGCTTTTAAATTTTTCTTATGCTCAAAATCTTACAAGTTTTGTCATGTTTAATTTTATGATATGCCTTAATGAGATTGTGAAAGGAGGATGATATCCTGTTCTTCTAGTCTCTAGGCTAATTTGGTAGCCATGAAAAATTATGATATCGTGGTTTGGAAGGGAACTGTCATAATTGATGTGATCTCCTCATAATTGACGATATAGCGAGTTGGTTAAATCTTGAAAACCCTCATTGCCGCTATGATGATTTTTTCTTGATGCATACAGTTTGAGATTGTCAGATACCAGTGATTAATGTTCAATCTTCAAATAATTTGTTCATATACTATACTTGAAATCTTCTTTTTGCGTTGGCCAAAAAAAAAAAAAAATCCTTTCTGCCTCCTCATCTATTCCGAGATAAGTTCTTATTTTCCTTCTCTGATTATGTGATTTTAAAGGATTGGAAACGAACCTACATGAATGACTTCATCAAGATGACTGAGGAATTTATAAAAGAACTGGACTTGCCGGAATCAAAGCGAAGAATACAGACATATGAATCTGTTTTCAAGCAAGACAATGACAAGCCACCTGAACCTTGAAGGTGACCGTTTGTAAAATTCTGTGCCTTGAGCTTTGTAATAGTCCAATCCATTTTACTCTTTCGATATCTATGGGCTTTTCTGCCGCTAGCACATTTTATAGTTTAATGAAATAAGCTAGTTGGAGCTGGTTCTTTTCTTTTCTTCTAAAGAAATAATGTGGTTTCCTTTCCACTCGTATTTGTGTATTTTAGATCCTTTACAAAAGGAAAGTTGATTTTGTAACACATGTCAGAGGAAAGGTTAAAAATAATCACACAACACCGCAAGTTGACCGTGAAGGTCATATTAATGGGACTCTTGTTAATTTAGAGTACAATATTTCGCATTCTAACTAGGACTCTTTAAAGACTGGAGTCTTTTGTTTTCCCTTGGGGTACATGGAGAGAATAACTTATGCTTGTAAAACCTCTCGAAAAATCTCAAGTACTGCAATGAAGCAGAGAAAGTTAGAATTGATGGACATCTAGAATCAGAACTAAAAATTCAATCTCAACCAAGATGTTCGATGATGGAGAAATTTGAATTTAACGATTGAGGGTGCAGTGGTTTAGGATCTAGGGCGACATTAATTAAACGTCCAAAAAATGTGGAAATACTGGTGAAAGACCAAGAATTAGAAATCTAATTAGAAGTTAGAAATGGATGAAAGCAAATTATTTTTTATGGGCTCGTTCAAATTATACTGAATCCTACAAGTTCTGGTGATTGTCATAAATAAAGGCGAGACTGTGAAAGGCGGTTCTCAATATGAGGGGGAAACATGATCAGCTGTTGTTCTCGGTCGTTACTGCTTAGCTGTGCTAGGCTGACGATCTTGTGTGGAACCAGCACGACGCTTTATTTTCAGGTACCCGAACTTCCCAGCACCTGGTGATGAACCCTCAAACATAAAGGGTAAATACCCAGTGGCTTCTTTGTACCTCTGCTGAAGCTGAAATGAAAGAATATATCGGACAACTCAGAAGGCATGCACGAAAGGAGAGGGGGCGGGGGGTTGGGTTTGGAACAACTCCAAGATCACCAAAATGATTGAAAAGTTGAGATCTCTTTACAACTTCAGAATTACATTGAAATCTTTTCAAAATCATGTTTTGATGGAAAGCAACACTCTTGTTGCTTCTGTGAAAACCACCCAAAACGTAAATGCAGACACCATATGTAGTAGTGAAAAACAACTGTGTGGAGGAGGTTGTGATTATAATATCTCTAATTTTATGACTGAATTACAGAATAAACTTACCTCAAGAATTTGTTCTTTGCTCTTTAGACAGTTTTTACCAATCACACAAACTGTTCCACCTGAACCTCCCCCAGTAATCTTGGCTCCATATAACGTCCCACCTACAGCTTTGGATGCAGCACTATGCTGCAAGTCTTCTACTAATTGTACAATCCTATCTGTTCCGTCAGACCCAAGTCCACAAGCGCTGTAGCTGTAGTGGCACTGCAAATGACAGTTAATGGTCAAAAGCTTGTTTGTCCTTCTAATTTCCAGTTTTTCTTCAGTATTTTGATTTGCAGGAGCAGCCTGTGAAAATAATAGGGCGGTAGATTGATAAACAACGGTACATTTTGATACCTGGTATAGCAATTCTCCGAGTGCTGCAAGTTGATAATTCAAAGATTTTGACGTTAACAGTGCTTCAAAGGTCTGTAAAACATTACAGTGGGAAGAAGTAACAGCTAATGTAATGCGTAGAGGCAAGGAACACGCATTTGCACAAACATATTGAAATCATTATATCCTCTGTGGTATAAAATTGAGCCAAAAAGATGCTAAGGTGAGCGGAAAAGACATTTCGTATTCATAACCAATGAAATATTTAGACCCAGGGGCTAACCTTGACTCGGAAATCTTCATATATGGGATGCGCTGTTGGAGCTACTACTCCATAGGTACGTTTCCCATCAATAACAGTGAAAGGATCATCATGATCAGTGTATTGATCCAAAAATTTCTCACCAGGAATGGATTCAGGAATAGCCTTCGCATAAAGAGCCTCGTATCTGCGAATGAAAAACTCAAGTAATTCCATATATACTTCACGCAATGACTAGGGGTACTAATACCCAATATAATCAGGAGATTGTCAGAGCGATGATTCAACTTCATACTGTTACAAAAATATGCGTCACCCTCACAACCCATTCTAGCAAGAAGAGCTTTACCTGTGAGGTGGCAAATTGCATAGATAGTCTAATGAGGCTTCTCGTTTTAGTAGTTCTATATCATCTTTATCCTCTTCATCACGGCTCGAACTACAAGCAAGTGTCTCAGACAATTTGTCAGAGGCCCTGGACTTTATCATCTTCAAACCCATAAAAGTACCAATCCTTACAGACCCATAGTCCGCACCTCCAACGCTGAAATAGATGACCATTGCGATGGTACAGGAGCAGGAGAGAACAAAGAAGAATAAGAAATGAATTGGGTGTCAAGGGTTAATAATTTGCAACGACTAAAAGGGTATTTTCATGAAATCTAGATGCAGATGGAAATAAAGTATAAGATTTTAGTTGGAAATTTTCTTTGTGATCTCATCTCAAATGTTGAGATTTGTAATTTCCTTCTCCTAGCAAGGCTAACATAGAGCAACGATTCCAGACCAGCACAAACTGATGGCCATAAAGCAGGACAAGAAACTATCGCAAAACCAATATTTCAATGTCAATATATCCATAGAAGTTGCAGGAAGTTTCACTATTTACAAGTCGTGAATCATATGACTTGTCTCAGGTTTCTATGTAAATACACAGGGGCCAATTAGTTGAAACTTAATGATAGAACAGCCACCTGTGTTTAATTCCAGAGTCAATCCCCCAGAATCGGATGTGTTTAGGAATGTCTACAAGGCCAACAATCTCTGCCGGCTGCATGGACATCAAACAACACCATGATATTGTTTCTGGAGATGAGAAAATATTGTTTTGTGTGGCTTGTCATGATGTAAACCTGGCAAATCATGGCAAGAAGTTTGTTGGCTTCACCGCATGCTGAAGCCATCTGGTCCATGACACCGCATGGTGCTCCAACGATGTGATTCTCTACCTAATGTAAAGTTTGGAATAATGAGTGAATTTGCATATGTGGTCAAGAGAATTTAGTAATGATTAGAAGGCTAAGCAAAGATCAGACCTTCTGGCAGAGCAACGCCAGATCCCTCGGGCTGATATTTAATCCTGCAAAAGGGAAATTTATGGCAGTAAGTATTATCTTGAAAAAAGATTGCAACCGTATATTCAACGGGGAAAATAATCCACTTTTACGTCAAACTAATCCATAGCAGATCTCATACCAGAACCATAGAGATAAAAGTAAAGGAAAAAAAAGAACAACTTCTCAAAGCGATTTCTTTAAATTTTTGTTCAGCTCGGCATCAATTTCACCATGAAAAAGAATATTTTAAAAGAGAGAGAGGAATTTGGTAGTATGATTACCATAGGCAGCTGCTATGGCAGACATGCTAGCAACCTCAACAGATGCAGATGATGATACACCTTTCCCTTCTGGGACTGCAGATAAAATCTAAACATTTTTGTTTAGAATATCATGATGTTAGCAAAAGAGATGACAATAGATAAAGTAGCGTAACCTTAAGCCATGATAACTGTTTTTTAACGTAATAACCATGATATCTTTTAAAATTGAATTTTGCCCATCTTTTTCAATATGTTGTCTAAAGGACCATTTTCTGCAGAGTGCAAAATATCTTCTGATTACTCAGGCAAAAGCTCTTTTCATAACGTTTATACTACATTCTCTTAAGTATTTGGCAGATGTCAAGTTTCTGCAGTAAATGTATAGATTCGTAAATTCAATAGAGAACCAAAGGTACCAGCATGCTGATACTATCTTCAAAACGCAAACCCAATTCATTCATTAAGACCAGAAATGCTCCCGCAACATATGCTGCCCACCTGTAATGGCGGTAATCATATTAAAATAACAGAATGCCATAAGGCGTATGCATGTAAAATACCAATCTAATTGCTACCCACTTTCGGGCAGGATCTTCAGCAAAGTATTCCTTTGCTTTTTCATACGAAATTGGCTTCTCTCCATCCATAAAATCGGATAAATCCATATCAAAGGTCGGACCACGATTACTCAATTCCGAGCCATATGAGACCTGGCATGATCCAAAAACACACGTTAAGAAAATAGTCATCATCTACAAGATTAAAATTATAAAGAATAACCATATCAATGGAAAGGATTTTTCTCATAAGATTCTCTACTTATTACTTTTGTATACCAATCAGTCAGACTAAGTTAGACAAATTCCAACAAATGGTAAGTATTGTTTATTGTAAAAGTTTTCATTGACTTTGAAAGTTCTCCAACGTACGATTTGCAAGACAGCCTTGGGATGTTGTTCCTTGTTATCTTGTCGAGCCTGAGCATGCTTCCACAGCCTCTGCTTACTGGGATGAATTCGTTGTAAAGCAACGTGGCAGGCTTCTCTTATTGGCATCTTCAAATAAGGGGCAAAGAGAGGTAAGAAGGAAGTCAGTAAATGACTATAAATTCAAGAATAAAATTGCTAGCATAATTGCATTTCAAAATCACAAGTTGCTTGGCCAAAACAGAGACACGTATGGAAATCTTATTTGTATAATTATTAATTTATTAATTATTCTAGCATTGAATTTTATCCAAAAATGAAAAATAATAACCATCCTCTCCGATCCTATATATAAACCACATTATAGCAGAAATTGATAGTGCTTTTTATAAGTCACTTTGCAAAAAAAGATGGACTATTTCCCAATTTTCCCTTACGCAATTTTTCATGAGTAGTGTAAGAGGTTGCTTTGAGACATGAGAGAGATGGATGTTTTTAAAATTGAAGCATTTAATAATGATAAATTGAGATTTTTCTTTCAGACAATATCAATAATTTAACTAACTCTCCTGAGTCCAATAAGGTAGTTATAAGTAACTTAATTATAAGTCTGGATGAAGTGTTATTTAGTGTATTTATTGTGTACTAAATCTACATAACTATATTTGGCCAAAAAAATGTACAGAATTACATTCTTCAAGTTTCCTTAGTTTTAGGAATTTAGTCTTTATTGCAATAATCTTACTTAGAGCATCTTTGTACTATATATATGCATTTAGTCAGAGGAATAAAACAAGATCAGCGTTTTGCCACATTTGCCTCAAGATGCATTAAATAGGATTCACTTAAACTAACTTTTAAAGCCTGTAACAGGTGAAGCTTAGTACCGACTAGGATGATGTGAAAATTTAATGTTTAAGCAAACAGAAAGATCCAACCTGCAGGACAAGACTTCCGGAATAGTCAGCAATTCCACCCATTACGTCTAGCCTTCCAGGAGCTCTTGACACAAAAATTTCTTCCTTTACACAACATCGGAAAAGGCAAACAAATAAATCACCAACATGCAGAAGTATTTGAATTTATAAGGTAGTATCATGACCACAGAGTCAAAGAGATTAGTCCAGAGTCGAAAAATTGAAGTTCTAAATTTTCATATGAAATGAGAAAATACCTCCCAGTTGAAGAGATTGGCGGCAGCCTTTCTCTCCCGCTCTGTGTGCTGCTCTTCTAATTCAGCTAAGGTCTGTAGGAAATCCTCAGTATCTGAAAGACCTTGAACATCTCCTTGAAGAATGTCAAAGTATTTGCAATGCCTGAAGAAATAGAATAAGGAAACCACCAAAAATGAGTTACTCCGTCCATAACAAAGTCATGATGACCAGTATGACCACATGCAGTTAGTCAAAGAAAACTGATACTCACTTGCTTAATTCAGTGGTTCCGTAATCCGAATGAGGTAAGAAGCGGCTTAATTGGTGTTCAGCAGTCGCATACCATTCTGGGATTGCAATATCTCGTCCAGGGGCCCTTTGTAGTTCATACCCAAGAACTATAGCATCTCGTAATCTTCTTGCTCCACTAAGCTACATATAATGATAGAAAAGAAAAGGGAGCATAAATTCAAGTTCCATCCCTCTCGTCAAAGATCACTGTGATAAAAACAACACTGCAAGTAACAGATATCAGATGACCTCTACCTTATCATGTGCATACTTCTTTCCCGAGGCTGTCTCCTGCAGGATGTGTGCTGCCACCTAAACTTTGAAAAAGGTTTTTAAAGAAATCATCAACTCCTTTCGCAGATATTTAAAGGCTTCAAAAGGTAACATAAAACTAGTGGGATAGATTCCAACTGAAAACTCACTCAAATGGAGAGTAAATTTTCTAGTATTCAGAATGTGGAAACCTGAACTTATTTTTTTTGTTAATGGTCATTGGATAAGCAAAATTTAGAATACTCCTGGCTTTTAAGATTCCATTTTCAGACCCATCCTATTAAGATATATTAGCAAGTTAATCTGATTCACAGTGCTTGATATATGTTGTTGTTGAAATGTAGTTGCTGTTGCAGCTAAGGCCTTCTTGTTTAGTCTTTTGGTCTTTGTACCTTGGCATGAAGCTAATTGCTGACTAACCCAGGATCCCTAATGTTCAACTGAACTTTTTGGTGCCCTAAGCAATATTAGGTTATGAATATCTATTTAAGACCATGCTTTTTCGTAAAAATGAAATAAGTTATTCTCTTCATTTTAGGGAAGTAGTAAATCTTTTGATATTTGCTTGCTCGAGTTGTAATACTTTATTGTGAAAGATATATGTCAAAAAGCAAAATCAGAACATTTTGCTGCTGCTTCTACTCTACTCCTGTTATATTTCCTTGTTCTTTCCTTCCTCTTTCAACATTCATACTAACTGGTCTGAAAATAGAATGAAGAAGAATATGAAACATCTGCATCAACAATTAAAATTTCCATATTATAAATTATCAATGCTAGTCGATTTGGCCTAATAATTTATCTCCAGAGCCCAATCATGACTGGGTCTTTTAGGATGAAATTCAGATGGATTAGATCATACCTTGGTCATGAAACTACTAAAAGCTCAAACTTACAAGTACAGCCACAACACTGTAGAAATAAAGTTGATAAAGGGAAGAATTATATTTCATAGGAATAAAAATGTTCAAAGATGTTATCTTTGCTCTTTCAACAAATATATATTAACATGGTTGCCTGTCTACTTCCATCACTAACCGGAGATTTATTTATTCCTTGTACTCTATCAGACTGAGCAACAATTTATACGACGCAAAGAATAATCAACAACTAAAGCCCAGCACTTGCATGAAATTATACAAGTAGAAACCCCAAGAGTCAATAAATTCAGGAAAAAGAGGATACCTCACCACCATTAACACCTCCTTCATAGCGTGGTTTCAATCTCATTGCATGCTCTAAATAAGGTTTCCAATTGCCAGTGAGTAAATCTCTCCTAATCATTTCAACACCGCCTTGATAATACTATGTCAAAAAGAAGAAAATGATCATCAACCGAAAACAAAACAAAAAAACAAGATAATGATTACAGAGTTGTGGCGCCTGCAACAGAAGACATGGGGTAGAATAGGACATTAATAAAGAGAAATTCATGAGAGTACCTCAAGCATGTGTCTCAGAAAAGGCTCTTCATTGAAATAATCTCTGCGTACAAAGATAAATGGACAATTGTATGCTAAGGCTTCACTGACAGTTCCATATCCAATTTTTCCTGAAATGTCAAGAAGCCATCAGTACAAATGTCTAACCTTTCTGTTAATTCAGCTTTGCTACCTTGAAATTCTATACTAACCAATCATACAGTCCACGGCTGCAATAATGTCAGGAGTGTATGCATCTCTTTCAAGCCTTTTGAAGTTTTGTGGAAGGTCCTGGCTGTCAAAAGCACCGCAAACCTGATCCAAGGCTAATTATCACCAAATAAGTCGCCAAGAGCACACCAACCAGCCAGAAGAATATAAAAGCTAAGTTACCAGGCACAACCAGCCAGAAGGTAAGAACTCCTCCTTTAATCTACATCCTGATGGCTGGAGACATTGTGAGAAATCGTAGAGGCAGAAGAATAAAAGGTCAATGACACGTACACAAGAAAAATTACAGTTAAAGGTTTATGGGACAATATATGACAAAGCACATTAACAAATCATTGCGACAATAAAATATCTATAAAACAGGTTTACCCACAGATTCTTTTCTAAATGCAAGCGAATATCCAACCAAAGGTGTTGCCTCAGATAAACCAGTTACAGTAAATAAATAGATGCACTAGAGGGCTATATTATTCAAGTCTAACGTAAAACAGTTCATGAAACAAGGAAAATATCATGGATTGCTACATAACTTCATTTAGTTAATACGGCTTCTCTTGCATTTTGTGGAAAGAGAAAACATAATTTATACTTCGAAATGAGAACGGTAAATGTTGAAAAAGTACAACTTCTATGTTACAGTTTTACATCTCGAGATTTTAGTCATAGGGTTTTGAATTTCAATTGCACGTTTTGGGTCCTTGATCTGAGCATGGATGAAGTGGACAACAATAATTAGTATTGAGTGAGTCATAAGATATTAATTCTGAGTCCTGATAAGGACAAGTTTATAGTTGTTTCTTCTGTGTGTGGAGATGAGAATAAGCAATTACGCATGAAGATTACATGATATGCTGTAGCTTGAATGATGCTAAGAGCAAAATGAAGGAGCACATAGCTGCTCAAATAGTCAAATAGAAAGTTCTCTAAACTCATGCTACTCCAAACATCGGACTTCAAAATTGTGGTGGGTTTATCATCAAAAGATTTTAATAGGAACTCAGCATGGCACAAAAATGATGGTCAGTAAAGAAAATGACAATGAAATGAATGGAAGAAGGATATGTAGGAATCCAAACATCACATGATTGAATGCTTGACGCTTGCAATGAGTTATATATGCTGATACGCACTTCAAACCACAAAATATATTGATAGTTGTAATTGTAATGGCAGAAATCCAAGGGTCATCCTTAATCCCAGTACATGAGGATGCGACAATAAAAGAAGGGCATAGACAGTAGAGAAAGAACATAAGCGTAATCAAGCAGCCAAAAAACTACTTAGTTTTCTCTCGAAAAAGGGAGGAAATAATCACCTGACCACCAAAATTAAGAATAACTAGCTTCACATTGCCCGCTATCCCCAGCTCCTTCCTCACCTTCGACAGGAAAAATAGAAGACAATACGTAGGGAATTAAATCATCCTCTGGATGAGTTCCGCTAAGGTTTGTCAGGTAATTACCTCTTCAGGGGATTTGTGCATCCTTCTCACAACTAGAGGTACGTCAATAACGTCACTAAAAGCAGGCACTACAAATACGCACCACGGATCTTGTTAATTATTTCCAAGACCAATCCAAGAAGGTAAATTGACACTTTTAGGCAATTAACATGAAATGAAACCAATATACTCGGGCAATATCCTGGGAGGCGAATAAGGAATTCGCAGTGGGAATAATCCTCAGCTATCTGTATCAATATATAGGCAAATACACTCATTTAGAATACTTTAAGCTTGCAGCCACAGCTCAAAGAAAAAGAACAGACCAATTTTTCAATTCAAAAGTTTTGGTTCTGTTTAGTTCATTGGTTGCTATGCTTTACAATCAATAGATTTGAAGACTAAGGGTACAGACGAAATCCACATATTCTGATGCATTTTCAGCTTCGTTTGACATTACAAACTCTGTCAAGGAATACAAATAAGCATGATAAACGCTTAGTTGTCTGAGACATTTACTGGTATGTGCAGGAAATGCTTATAGAATGGCTAGGAAGCATTGATTCATCATAAATTGTGCCTTTCTCTTCATCAATTTTCCAATATCTGGCAAATCATGTAAAAAGTAAAGCAGTAGTAAGGGGGGAAAAAGAAAAGATATTTGTCGTCACAATTGTCAAATTTCGCACAAGTGACTAAATGCTGATAATGCAACGTCAGTACTTCAAGGTATAGAAAGACTAGAATGGAGACTCAGAAGATAGCATTAATGACACTCAAATCTTCATCTTTGGAGTTAAGGAAAAAAACAAAGAAGGAAGTGAGACACACTTAATGCAGCAGGAGAATCACTTCACGGCAGAGAATAAGGAGGCAATCTCGAAATAAATCTTCCAGATGAACTCCGAACCAAAATATGATTATTGCTTATATCTAAATTCATGTTTCGATGTTGATCACCAAAAAAAAAAAAAGAATATTGACCACAAGATGATGACACTAAATAAGATTGGGTTAAACAAGAACAAGGTTGCTGTCACCTGCCAAATTATTGATCGATGATGAAGTCCTGCAGCCATCACATATTCGGCATAGATGAAGTCCCAACTGATTTTACAAATACATGAAAAGAAATTATTTACTGTCTTGTTGACATACTTCAGAGAAACAAATAAACCGGTTTGTCTCAGGTATTGAATAAAAACAATGAATTTAAACTCCTACATCAGAGAACTAGGAAGCTGATTTAAATGACCAAGATGAAACTGAAAAGATGTGAATAAACCCATCGGTATTGTCGTATTGCTAATATATTCTGTTACGATGAGTGATTGAGAACATGAGGGAGCAGCATATTTTATATGCTTCCTACCCTTGACGGTTCTGATTTGCCTAGGAAGTTGAGAGTACATCAATAAGCGGGCAAATTTAAATTCTAAAGTCACCTGAAATTAGCTACACAAACAGAGCGAATGCCAGCATCTGCTGCTGCTCGACATGCAACTGGGACAACATCAGAGACCTGCTTTTTGACATTAGATCGACAATACATTCTACTGAGATATACTCTAAAGTGAAACTAAATTTAGAACTTCCTTTTCATTCGCTTCTGGTTGTTATTTCTTAGTAGTCAATAAGGTATTTTTCATCCAAATCGGCTTCGTAGGGGAGTGGTCCATATGAAGCTCTTTTCTCAACTTCTAACATCCATTTTACTGGCAATCAATAAGGGAAGAATATCTTCGATTACCACTAAGTCCGCTTTAATGGATTTCAGCCACTCTGCTTCTTTTGCCAATATAGAATCACGGGGTTTCACAGCTGTCTCTGAATACTATCATAGCCCGCCAAAAAAACAAAAAATAAAAAAAGTAAGCAACAGAAATAATGTATCTAGCAGGAAGTGTCAAACCAAAACAGAAATGATGTTACCTTCTCCAAGGAGGCCAGGCGATCAACTGCCAGTGCATCCGCCTGGACGCAACCACAATCTAAAAGCTCCTATATTTTTCACAAGATAACAATAGCTAACACAGATGAATAATTTCATAAGCAATTTCTGCAATTTGTAACCAATGTGCTTGAAAAACAGCGGTGCAAATCCTACCCCCCAATTTTAAAGTTCTAGAGTCTAAATGAAACTCACCTTACGAATCAAGAGGCGAGGAGATTGTATTTCCGAGTGGAAAACAAATTCAGGCGCACCAGTGACGACATGCACATAATGCCCAACCGAGATTAGATGCCGCACTACCTGCGCATTTCAACGTTAGAAATTGAAAATTACTTTGCATGCAAGCCATAGCAATATCCGCAAAACAAACTGACGTTGGAGAATCAAGCTCTTATTATTTGTTTCTTTTTCAATCAGAAAACACCAAGATCATTAACAGTTAGAAAAACGAATATTTTGGTTTTGGCCCCGGGGGGGGGATCAAATTGATCGGTGATGAATCAAACATGAAGATGAAAATAGCAGGAAAAACAGAAAACAAATTGAATTGTGCAAAAGACCTCAACAACACGAGTGGCATGGCCAAAACCATGCCCAGTGACGTAGTAAGCGAAGACTAATGGCTTTTTGGTTCCCGATCCAACGCCATTTTCCTGTCTGGTACTCATCATGAAGGTTTATGTCTCTTGCTTTTCAAGATCAGATATTTCTGTGCCTCAAGGGATCAAAGACTGTCACACCATTATTGTAGAATCAATGAGATTATTATTATTGATTTTATGCATGTGAGTATTGAATAGTGGAAATCATCTTAATCTTATGGGGTCGAGAATGGTGGGTTCCGTTTAGAGACTACGAGACAGCTCCGTGATAAACGAAATTGACTCTCCCTCTCTTTCTCTCCCTTCTCGCACATTGCTTGAAGTTGTTCGTTGCGGAATACAGTATGTTTTATTTAAAAATTAATTCGCGCCAAATTATCAGTTAATCAGTTATATCAGTAAGAGTTAATTAAGATTAAAAAAATTAGTCAAACTAATTATTTATAGTAAATACTTAAAATACCCTTATTAATCATGTGTATTAGTTAAAACTATCATTTAATAAAACTTTTAAAATAAACAACTACTATAAAAACTATCTTAGAAAAATAAATAAATATAAAAAATAAAATAAATTGAAGTCTTATATTTATGATCAAATTGAATGTCAAAATAGTTTCTATGTAAAGAACAAATCATTTGCATAATTATATTTTGTAATTTCTTACCGTTATAATGTATATATTATTCATCAAATTAAAAAAAAAAAGGTTATTTCGTTAGTATGAATGTGCCAAAATATGAATGTTTATATAATCGGTCAACGTACTATGATATACAAGTAAAATGGATGAACATTGCAACTGTGATGTGATTAATTTGTTATTTTATCTTCTTTTTAATCAATTTATCTATTTTTATTTTTAAAACTTGCCTTTTTTTTTAGAGAAAAAAGTATTCTTTTAAAAACTTTGAATTCCCATGTAATTGGACGAGTTGAGACTGGTCATATTATACAGTTATACTAGCATGTAACAGGCAGATCAAAGCAATCTACTTGTTATTTTGAATAGAAAATGATCCGACCAGTTAGGGTTGAATGAAACCAAATTTTAAAAGTTTACGAGTTTTTAAAATTAATATAAATATTTTTTTATAATATTATAAAATTATCCTTAACTAAATGAAACTCAGTATTTAAACTAAGAGTGAAAAAGACAATAAATCTTTAAAAATAATTCATGAATACTTAGTCATAAAAGTGGGGGAGAATAGTGTGCATCTTTTTATTTAACATTTTCAGTTCATTTAAAAGCTACTACTTTTTATTTTAATTATAAATATAATAAAGTCTTGTACCTAGAATCAGAACTCATGATATTATTTAGGGATAAAAACCTTTGGGGTTTAGATGTTCAGAGCCTGTAAATTGGGCCGAGCCCTCTTCCTTTCCACCAGATGCCCTCGTCGGAGGCTCGCCACGCGGCCGAAAACGGTTGACGGAGAAAAAAGGCGCTTGGGTCTAATGGAATGACGAGCTCAGTAGCTGACGCAAGAATGAAATGCGTTCACTAATGGGAGTGGCAATCATGTTATTTTGTGGAAAACCGAGGGTTAGAGTTTTCATTACAGGATAATGAGATGACGAAGAGGAGGTATGTATATGGAGAGGTGATTCAATCCTGCGTGTTGTCGGAGGTGAAAGAGAGGGCTATAATGGCGACGATTGCCGTTCCGGTCCCCGCGAAGTTTAATTCGCTGAGAAATTGGGGTTCTCTCCTTTCAAGTAAAAGACGTGTTTACTTCAAGCCTACGCATTGCGCCCCGGTTCAGCAAGTTCAACAACAGGTAAATCTTCTTCCTTCGTTGGAATTGACGATCCCATTGCATCACAACATGATTATCACGCATAGTTCCGAATTTTCCGGTACGATCCAGTACTGTTTCCTCACTAGGCATGTGACTATTTTTTTTATTATAGTGCAAAATAAGATACAACGGTATCAACGTCGCTTTGGCCGAGTGGTTAAGGCGTGTGCCTGCTAAGTACATGGGGTTTCCCCGCGAGAGTTCGAATCTCTCAGGCGACGTTCTCTTTTTTTTTTTTCCTTTTGGGTGAGGAGGATGCACGAAACTTCCTGGTTAAAGTGTGAGTCATTAGTTGTTTGCTAACAGGTGCTGATAAAATCTTCCTGTCCGGAGAACATTTTCAAAAAAATCAATTCATGTGGTGCCAAGCGTTCTATAATCATGTTTTGAACAGAAAACTTGGCAACAACACTTGAAACTGACTGTGCCTTCATAATTACATGGCAACAAATTCTAAACAGTACCAAGTAAAGGGTTACTGATCTGATCAATTGGATGAAATGATGTCAAACCGAAGTCTCTCTTTCTTCCATCATAACTATAATACTTTGTACCCATGTTTACTTTGGTTCAGTTGTATGTATAGGTTGATGCACCGGGAATTATGTGTGAACCTTGCAATGGAACAGGATGGCTACTGTGTGACTTCTGTAAAGGACAGAAAACAAATGTCAAAGCCGAAAACAAGCGGCTCTACCGTAGATGCCCTTCTTGCAGAGCCGTAAGTACAGTGATTACTTGACTCAAAAATCAAATTGATAAGGCACGTCTTAAAGAGCGGGCCTAGGGTTGTGTATTAAGATAGGCAATTCTTTGATATATATTTTTTTTCTGTTTGCATTTTCAATGACTTTGGGACCTCTTTCTGTGTTGGCATTCTGCTGCAGACTGGATATATCTTATGTTCAAAGTGTAAGGTCTTCAAATGTGTCACTTTTCCAAATTACAATGATGGTGAGGAACTATCTTTTTGAACGTACAAGTCTTTCTACAATGCCAGAACAACCCACAAGTCAGCGATATTCATATACTTTCTTTACAACTGCAATTTGCGTGCTATAAAGTGCAACCAATGGTTTGCTGTTTGATTTGATCATCACTCTTCATTATTTTTCTTGGATGTAATTTGATATGACTGACAATGTAAAGTTGGAAGGGGGTCATGCCTTCCTCAGACAGCTTCTGAGGTACACTCCTAACTTGAGAACTAAAATGTTTATAAATTTTTCAAGTTTATAGATTAGATTCTTGTATTTTTCAAATTTTATACCTGGGTTTGACAGATCCTGTGACATTTTGATGTCATTTAGTCCTTGGCAATGATAGCTACAAGCAGTTTTTGACTGACTTAACTTTTCAATGACTATAATCTGACCTGGTTTTGGGGTTTCAGCTTAGTTAGAAAGGCCCCTCATGCATAATCTTTAGAATCTCTATTGGTGAGCCAGAGATGTCCTTTGAATGAACTCTGATGTGACCTGGACCTGAAAAGCCCCCAATTTTAGTTTTGGGTTCAACATCAGATTATTTTACGTTCAATTCTCCAAACCGTTACAGCTTGAATGAGTTAGTCTTCTCGAACATAATTAGTGTGTGTTTTGTCATTGTTTTTTTTTCTATATATATTTATGTTTATGAGACAATTTTATATGCTTTTTTTAGAACAAATTTTGAACTAAGAATTTAAGAAAAAAAAATGTTTGCATTTTCTCAATCGCATCTTAAAACAAAAATAACAGGAAAAGACAGTCTAGAAAAAATAATTTCAAATTTTGTATTCTCAATCCTCTGCTGCTCACTCTGGCCAACCATCGCGTACTCCTAATAGTGTTTGCCATTATCTGCCGTGTGTCCTTGAGAACTAATTTAAAATTATTATTATTTCAGAATTCTTATTTAAAAATCTGTTCTTGAAAAAGCATATAAATTAAACATACCTATGATATGAGCTTGCCAAACCTAGACGATCAGAGAGAACAAAATATCTGAGCATATTAGAAGTATATTTTATTCCGAGACATCCGATTAAAAAAAAAATCTGCGTCACATTATTATAACAAGGCGTGCAGCTAAAAGCGTTGGTAAACCCAGGGACCACGTATAAATAATACGTTACTTTCGGCAAAAAAAATAATACTAGTAATAATACATTGCTCAGGCTAAAATATTTAGCCAAGTTTCATTTATTAATAAGATCAGTTAGCTTTGACTGTCAATTACCTGAAATCCAGCCATATCTCCTCCAAAGTCTACCAAGTTAATGCACCGTTCAACTTCTTATCTTTCAACACAGCATAGGAATATGCTTTGCAAAAAAAATTTTGGGATCCAATGCCTCATATTAAAAAGAAAAAAAGGAGTAAAAATAACATTTAGCATTCTAATTTTATTTTTCAGTAGCATTTTGTTTCACAATCTCATTTATGATACATCCAACATCCTGATATTATTTTCATGGTGCATCAAACACTTTTAATAATATTATTACTTAATTACATCCAATAGCATGATCTTATTTTATAAATATTAGAAAAATAACGTTGAGGTGTAGGATGGATCATAAATGGGATTAGAATGCTAGATGTAACATCGGTTGTGAGAGACTATTTTATCTGTAAAACTAATATGGTTTTAAACCCTTGACCATCAATTACCTCAAATCCAGCCAGATTTCTCGTTTGCAGGTTTTTGGTTCTCCTTTGATTAAGTTGCGGTGAAACTAACATGCTTTAAGCTTTTGACCGTCAATTTTGTTTTGAAGTAACATAAGGCTCGATAATCACTTAACCACACATCAAGCAACAGGCTACTTTTGAACATATTGTTATCTATTAATTTTTTATCCAAATCCCATCATTAAAAATTAGGCAGTTAATTTAACTGTCAACGTTTATTTTTTTGGAGAAAAAAAATAAGGAACAGACACAAATATCAAGATGTTGATTGCTGAAGAGTTAAAACAAGTTCTTTAATCTCAAGTTGTTTATAAAGAAACAGATAATCAGATTAATATAATAAATATTCATATCTCATTCATATTTAACTTTTTTAATTTTTTGTCTTTTATTTCACGGAATTTCCGATCAATCCCCGTGATTTCACAGTCCAAGTTGCAATATACGCAGCACGTATTAATTATAATGATTCAGACTTAGAAACAGACGCAGCACGTGGATTCCTTGCAAACTTGATTGCTGCTTCCAAGAGGAACTGGATATAGATGTCATGTGGGCATCTGATTTGGATCTGAAGAGTGCGCCATTTGACTTTTCCTCTATTTTTACCTTTTTTCAACGGAATCTACGGGTGATTTGATATCTTAACCTGCTTGATATCTTATTAGAGGATATCATTTTTGCTGCTTAAGTTGATAAAGATATGGCATGCACATAAAGCTGCTTTTGGGTGTCTGGGCGCTTGTGGTTCATCAGAACTTCATGGAAGATTCCCTATTTTTGAAATGGCATTTTGTTGTGTGTGGGTGTGTGTGTGTGTAACGGATAACGAGGGTTGATTTACCAACTTGCACTGTTGATATTTGTGTTTAGCCCTTGAAATGAATGCTTGCATGTGAGCTGCATAATATGTGTTTGAGAATATGCCAATCAGAAATTTTGGATCTACGTGTCCTGAATGCAGTGTTAAATTAAATATAATATTGTCAGGCTTGGCTTTACTGTTGAAAGCATGTGTTTGCCTAGTGTATAGGATAGTGTCAATCTAATGCTGCAGGATCTCAACAATTTACCTGGAGAATGCATGGCTCTTGATCAGAGGACACTGACTGACTTCTAAGATAGGCAATTCCGTAGATTGTCCGTATGGTACGATTTTGCTGTCACCTGTAAATCGTGTATGAGCGCATTCTGAAAGTATATAAATATTGACTTGACCTATAAAGATAGGTTCTTATATGAGGCTATCACTTTTGCACCACATACTAAGACTCATTAATATTCACTTTCACATCAAGTAATATCTCCTATGTTTTTACCCTTTGGGGGGTGAGCCAGGGGCAACAGCAATGCAGGAACCTAAGATAATTACAGCTTTATTCATCGCTTCAGGACCACAAAATCTTCAAGTATAACATCCTGAAAGTTGTGTTTTTTTTTTTTAACCAGTTTATGAACTTCTATTAAAATCCGCGGCGCCCATAGTTTTTCTAGATTAAACTGAATGATGTGTTCGCAACAACTTGACAAAAGCCAACAGAGGCACTCTCTCCTGTCCCAGATCTTGGTATGTGCTCCTTCTTCGTGCTTGACCAAAGCTATCAGATTTTAGTTCATGCAGAGATCCAACAATGGTTTACTTCTCATTACACCTGAATTGAACGGTGACTTCATTCTGGAAAGGAGAACAACAAAGCCAATAAAGTGAAGACACAAACACACGCATACACCATCACTAATTTTCAAATGGATGAAAGATGAGAGTTGTAATGTCATGTGAGTTCTTCACATCAAGATATGATCTGAGCTGCATCGCCCAAGAATCTAGCTCTAGCATGATGAAAGACCACGACATTGGAAATTCTAATTATGTTTCATAAGTCTTAAGACAGATTTACAAACTTCAGCTCTAGAATAATAGAACTGGACCATATAGGTCAATTCGTTGCTTCATAATTCCCAAATGAGTCTTACATTGATGTCACTCATCCTCTCTCTCACTCTCACTGTCATACATTAACTGGCCTTTATAAGGTGCAAAACAAAAGGACCAGAAAAAAAGTTGAAGTACAGCAATTTCAAAATTCCTGACTATCTATCTGCACATTGGACTGTGAGGACGGTGGGAACAAGTAAGCAAGTCCTCAGAGCACCTGTCTGTTGAGTGGAAAACTTGAGTGGAAACCTTGTCCTTCTTTCCCTCCATCCTCTTTAATATGCTCTCGAAGGCAGATACTTCACAAGGGATCCTCAGGACACCGGTCTGTTGAAACCCAAATTCTTCTTCTGCTTCCCTCAATAACATGTGAAAGGCCTGATGACCCAAATACTCAGTGGGTATAATGAACCTCTTCAGCTCTTCCCCAACACAGACAGCCAGATATCCCTTGGGAACAAAATTGTTTGATCCTCCTTCACGTTCGGATAAAGAAAGCGTCCTTTTCAGAAACTTGATACTTTTACTGCTGCTGCTAGTGGTGGTGGTGGTGGTTTTTGAAGAGCTGGCCGCCCTTCTCCATTTCTTGAGGATCTGCCGAAGCCTAACAATTTCTGTGATCTTGTTGGACTTCTTTGGTTCCATAGACATGGTTCTGGCCTTCTGAGGGTATGGTAGTTTTTCAGTTGGTTCTCCCTTTTTCTTAGTAGCCTAAACCTGCGTCTGTGGGGCTGATGTATGCTGCTGATTTATAGAAGACTGAGCAAGACCTTGGGAATCCTGAATGTTAAGATGTTGATTTTTATAATACGAGAAGACCGCATTTGCATTTGCATTTTCCGTGCAAAAACTTACCCAAGAATTTTCTAGTTATTTTGCAATTTCAAATTGTTTATCTCTGGTTTCACATGTGACTGATCCCTGTAATACTGAACTCTCTTCCTCTTTCATCAATCCTTGTTCTGAAGGTTAAATCCATGTGGGGTTGCTTTATTCAAATCAAGGATGAATAGTACTAAGATTCCGAGAATCAAATATTTTACATATTTTTTGCTGGTTAAAGTTAGTAAATGGTTCTGGCTGGTTTGGTTTCCAATGCAAACCGCCCTAACAGTCAAGGTACCCAGTTAGTACAACAAAATTGTACCATTCAAACCTCCCTTTTGTTTGATTGCTCACTTTTTCCGCCTTTCTTTTAGTTTTGATCTCAGCCTTTTATTTGAATGCCTTGATTTTACCAATCAAAGTCATTTTGAGGACTTCTAAGAGATCCATATGACACGGCACTAAATTTAAAAGACCCCCCAGACGGTAGCCTAGTCAGTTTCACGAGCTTTATGTTCAAAGTCCAACTTCAACCTTCAATTCTTGTGCACAAGTTAATATATTATTATAGGTTCAATGTACCGTACAACAACCAGGGGGGAAATTGTAAGAAAGAGAGAAATGCAAACAATTCAAACTTTTTTTCAGAAGAAGATGCAATACAAAAGTTGGTTTGGTAAGATCTATAAAGATTAAAATATAAGTAGTTTGCTACCTAGGTTATCTCCTGTTTGCTGTGGTTATTGGTCATAAAAGCATGTACAGGTGAAATATGAAATTCAGAAATAAGTGATAACAGTTTGGGGCGAAAGAATAATAATGTGCCGTTATGAATTACATTGACTTTTTTTCATTATCCCTTGATATTGAATGTTAACCAGATATTTTGCATCCTTAACGCTGCTGTGTGAAGAAAAGTGATAGAATTCTTTTTAGCCATGCTTTTTTTTTTTTTTGGGTAAGTGCCCTTCTGGTACAGTAGATATATGATTTATAATCAGAAGTAAAGGATCTAAGTTGTAACTAGCCAGCAGTACATAATTTCCCTTTTTGTATAACAAAAAGGAAAGGATATTTTCAATGCAATATCAATCGATTCTTGGTGGAGACAATGAAATCTTCTCGAGAGGGTTTGGAAAGTACCACAAATTTATATTATCTTTTTAATGACGAAAAATAACATCATTGCTTGAGCCTTCAAGATATACTACCTCGGTTCTAACTATAAGAGCTATTGACTAATTTGAGGAGATTAAAAAAAAGTCAAGTTAATTACTTGTAATAAATAGGTAATGTCTTTCCTAAAATATCTTACTAATCAAGTGTATTGGCTAAACTACTATTTAAAAGGATAACTTTGAAAAAAAATGTATAAATATAAGAGACAAAGTGAATTGGGGTATTATATTTATGATCAAAATAAAAATAAAACGATCAAGGTCTTATATTAAGGATCGTAAGTAGTATATAGCTATCGAATGTCAATGATGCTTGCATGTGGACTGAAATAACTATCTAAATGTGTATTTAAAAAACAAAGGAACTTGTTGATTCTTTTTTATGAAATTTGGTTACGGGTTAGGATAGTGCTATAATAATTACAAAATGGAATGGATATTTGACTTGAATTCTTTAATTAGACAATGATTGGAGAAATCATTGAGGGGCTTCTAACATGATGCGCATTCGTTGCACCAAGTGAAGAACTTTGAGAATGAAATAAAAGATAATGAAATGGTCATTGGGCGATGGGAGTTGGGAGACTCTTATTTTATTTCAACTTTAAAGGTTTGATGAGATGCTTCTCAGTTTCGTCCAATCAAAATCATTTAACTAATACAAAATAGATTGGATGATAATGCCCTCTAAATATTTATTTATTTTTCATCAACCTGAGAGACTGTTAATCATATGCTTTCTCTGGAATCCTTAATATAAAACTAGTTAGAGAGTTAATTTAATTTTAAATACAAGACACCAGTATGTTTTTGTAAATTACCAAAATGTGGTTGTTTGAATTAAGAATTCCAACAAACAAATGTTCAGTTGGGAATCTTTTCTGACCTTATCACTTCATCAAATCATTTTGCCAGCTAATTGGATTATACTAAATCATCAGTTTCGCTAACTACTGTCACAATGATCTTCAGATGGACACAATAACAAGTTACGGTCTAAATTCTAAATTTCACAACTATCTACCATTCACATTCTATTTGTTAAAAAATAAAAAGGAAAAAGATATCATCCATCATTAACTCTGTTTTTTCAAAGTAGAAAATAAAGCCAGACAAAAAAAAGGGGGGGGACACAAAATACCATTTCGAAGCACACGATTTTTGGAGTCATAAATCTGTGGGTATATGTTTGATAAGCATGGAGGGATAGGCTGGCATTTATTATTAAATTGCTTTGCTTCGGCACCAAACCCAAATCAATAATTCAACTTAATCATTAAAAGGTCACAATAGATAACAAAATTAGTACATGAATTATATCCGTTAATTAACAATTAATTAAGAAAGAGTTCTTGGCGAAGCCCAACGTGGGAAGAGACTAAGGAGCCCATCTGAAACTTTGAGAACATGGCAGGCCCAAAAGGCAAGACTTGTATGCAGAGCACTACGCAGCTGGTTTTAGAGGATTATGATTTCAGCTTTTGAACATTTCAGGTTTAATATTTGACGAAAAATTATTTAAATAAAAATTATAAAAAAAATAAATCAAAACCACTAAAATTTAATCTTAAAGGTTCAAAATATAGTGAAAAAATAAAAAATATTCTGTAAATTTTAAATATCGTCGGTTCAAAATCTATTAATTTAAATTTAAGAGTCTCTCTTTTTTCCCATTACCCGTTCCGCTTCGTTCCCTCCCTTGATTCGACTATGTTACAAGAAATTCTCCTTTTATTTTTATGGAAACTACCTGTCTTCAAAATTGTCATGATCGCCTGTCTCTTTCATGCCTTCCTTTGTGTTTTATACTACCTCTAATTCTAATTGTAAGACCTAGTTTATATACTATAAATGATGTTTTATAATTATGATAGTATTTGTTTCCTGTAATTTAGAGTCTTGTTTTTTTCTTCTTCCCTTTTTGTTTTTTGCTGCGTGTAGTGTGGGACTGTGGGGTAAGTACTAAGTAGGCCTATGAAATAAATCCAAGTGTCCAACGTTAAGAAAAGAAAGCCCAAAAGTCCAGAAAGAGAAACCCCACATTCAAGTCTTCCTTTTTTGGGCCTAAATTCCTGCTCTGCCTCTGCTCGTCGTTGCCTCTTTCTCTTCTTCCACTGTCAGCCCGTCACCGCCTACCGTCTCTGTGTCAGTCTCGCTCCCAATCGTGGTCACCGCCATCACGGCATTCTCCCACCGTCGACCCAATCGTCAATCCCTCAGACCTCGCGAACCTCTTCCTTCTCTCTCCCTTGCGTTCGTGTTGCTTCCCTCAGTCTCGCCGTGACTGCGTCTGGTTCTGTGCGTGGCTGCTGGTCTCTCCCTCGGTTATTCATCTTTCATCAGTTGGGCATAAACCTTCTTGTACGCTGTAGCAGAGGTAATTTCTGATGCAGTGGTAATTCCTTTGCCTCCTCAACGGAAATTCGGTTTGATTTCGGTTCGTTTCAATCCTGTTAAATGCTCACCCCTGCCTGTTACGGCGTTTTTAACCGGGTTGGTTTGGTTTTTTTTTTTGGTGACATTTCAAGGTTATAAAAAAGAGGTTTACGGTGTCTTCCCCCTGATCAGGTCTACTTGAAACCTTAACATTACATTTGCATTGCATAACTAGCATATTGGCGTCGATAATGTTGCTTTAGTAGTTTCGTATGAGCTGATTTTATTGAAATGTTTACTTCTCTAGTTGTTGAGTTTGGTATGCGCCACATTTGATATTTTGTTTCCAGTTGCCAGACCACAATATACCAAAATGATATTTTTGGAAAATATATGTGAACTAGCCCTGCCTAGCCCTCATAACTTTTGAAGGACTGGATTGGCTTGCAGATACAGGCCAAAATTGAGTTGAAGCCAACTTGGCCTAGTCTTAATTTTCATAGTGTATTTGATCAGTTGGGTTAACATATGAGAAAATATGCAAAAATTGCTCGTAATTGTAAGTTCTAAGAGAAAATTGACCTTGAACTTTGCCAGGCACTGGAGCCCTCTCTTGCCGACAAGTTCTTGAAATGAATCATTCAGCTTCTAGATTGAGCTTTACTTAACGTGCCTGCTCTGAATTAATTATTCCGATTACCCACATTGCAGGGCAAAATGGCACCGAGATGGAAAGGGAAAGATGCGAAAGCTAAAAAAGATTCAGAAGCTGAAGCACACAACGAGCCCATGTCAAAGATAATATCTCAGCTTCGGTCTTCTCTAATTCAATCAGATGCTACTGGATTTCTCTCTAGTAACAGTGTCCGTGTAGCAGTTGAAGCAGAACAAACAGATCTCTTTGTTAAAGCATGCTTTGGTCTAGGGCTGCACATGGGCAGGGCAAACCCCTTGCCCGATGCCCAGCCCGAAAGATGAGCGGGCTGCGTTTTGCAGCCCGCTGCCCCGCCCTGCCCAGTAGAAGCCCTAACCATTTTGGGCAGGACAAGGACGGGCTGGGCAGGGCGGGCCTTTCTGCCCAGCGTAATGACACCATGCCTTATATCATACGTAGAAAAAAAATTCAATTATCGTGTTTTGAGACAAGTGAGAGGAAAAAAATTATCACGAATGAGTCTATCACTCATATATATATATAAGGCCTATGTAGTCTTGTTCTTCAACTTTCAATTTCTTATGGGAGGTAAAAAAAAATATTTAATAATTAGAACATTTAATAATCAAGCTAAATCAGTAGTTCAATTCCTTAGTTTATTCATATAGTTGGCAGATTTTTATAATCATGTGAAAGCACAAAATTTGAAAGGTGGTTTTATTTTTCTTTTTTTTTTGTTTTAAAAAATTGGATGTAAGAGAAAAAGAAAGAAATTTGACTTGGAGTAATTTAGCATATTGAATCTTATATTTTGATATTTAGCTCTTTTATATAATTATAATTTTATGTTCCTTTCATTTTTTCTAATTTTACCTAATTCTTTTGGCCAAAACAAAAGAGATAATTGCTTAAAATAATATTATCTTATATATATAATTATATATTTTTTCAGGCAAGGCCAAATGGGCAGGGCAGCATACCCTGCCCGCGGCCCTGCCCTACCCGTGAATCAGCCCAGCCCGAAGATGCCCATTTTTGCTTGGGCAGCTTTTTACTGGGCTGGGCTAGGCGCTTTTCTTGCGGGCTCGGGCGGGCTTATTGGGCATGCGGGCCTCATGCACACTCCTACTTTGGTCAACCAGTGAGCACAGTTGAGAAGGACAAACAGTGGTTTCAGTTAGGCTTGGAAGAAGCCTTTTACCTTTGCTATTCATTGAAATGCCTTAAAATTAATGGCAGAGCTCAGCTGCTCCCAAGATGATGAAGAGCTATGGCATTGCATGAAATCCAAGAAAAGAGCATTCCCTTCTTTCTACAAAGGTTATTCTCACCTTCGGTTGAAAAATTGGGTGGTGAGGCCTGGAGCTCAGTATGGTGTGGACTTTGTTGTCTATCGCCATCACCCAGCTCTGGTCCATTCTGAGTATGGGGTACTTGTTTTATCAGGTGAAGATGATAATGACTGTAATGGAAGATTGAGAGGCCTGGAGCTCAGTATGGTGTGGACTTTGTTGTCTATCGCCATCACCCAGCTCTGGTCCATTCTGAGTATGGGGTACTTGTTTTATCAGCTTTGTTGTCTACTGCTTAGTAGTGTTGCAAAATCTTTGTTGGTTCTGTACATCTGTAAAAATGGTATAAGTGACTTTTTTTTTTTGGTCAAATGGCATAATAAGTGACTTTATCATCGTTCATTTTATCATGGTCCATTAAGTCCATCAATAGAGGCTCCTGAGGCAAGGCGGAGCCCACCTAAAACCTGAATCCCGATCACAGCGCGTCAGCACCTACTGCCCCTACACGCAGCAGAGGGACCAGGTCAAGCTTTATGGCGGATTAAGCTTGGCAATTCCAAATCATCAACAATTGCCATCCCTCTCTTCATAAAATTTTTGGTTGAATGTGCCAAGACATGCTCAGAAATAGACTACGCATAAATAACTATTTTCATATAACTAGCTTAAGCAGTTAGCAAAATTTAATGGCATTGTATGTATACAGCACATCTTATCTGTTTCTGTAACCTACTCCTCCGATCCTAAATATAAGACCGGAGGATTATATATGTTTGCACAACCTTCACCCTTCACGGCATTGTTGAGGGCTCCATCTAGTGATCGTGCGCTCTTCTACCGTATATTTTGCCAAGCATGAAGGGGAGTCATCACTGCTACCATTTTTACAGATGTACAAAACCAACAAGGATTTTGCAACACTACCAAGCAGTCGGGTTGTGCAGTGAAAATCAGACCACTCTCTCAATCTTCCATTACAGTCATTATCATCTTCACCTGATAAAACAAGTACCCCATACTCAGAATGGACCAGAGCTGGGTGATGGCGATAGACAACAAAGTCCACACCATACTGAGCTCCAGGCCTCACCACCCAATTTTTCAACCGAAGGTGAGAATAACCTTTGTAGACAGAAGGGAATGCTCTTTTCTTGGATTTCATGCAATACCATAGCTCTTCATCATCTTGGGAGCAGCTATTACTGCCATTAATTTTAAGGCATTTCAATGAATAGCAAAGGTAAAAGGCTTCTTCCAAGCCTAACTGAAACCACTGTTTGTCCTTCTCAACTGTGCTCACTGGTTGACCAAAGCATGCTTTAACAAAGAGATCTGTTTGTTCTGCTTCAACTGCTACACGGACACTGTTACCAGAGAGAAATCCAGTAGCATCTGATTGAATTAGAGAAGACCGAAGCTGAGATATTATCTTTGACATGGGCTCGTTGTGTGCTTCAGCTTCTGAATCTTTTTTAGCTTTCGCATCTTTCCCTTTCCATCTCGGTGCCATTTTGCCCTGCAATGTGGGTAATCGGAATAATTAATTCAGAGCAGGCACGTTAAGTAAAGCTCAATCTAGAAGCTGAATGATTCATTTCAAGAACTTGCCGGCAAGAGAGGGCTCCAGTGCCTGGCAAAGTTCAAGGTCAATTTTCTCTTAGAACTTACAATTACGAGCAATTTTTGCATATTTTCTCATATGTTAACCAACTGATCAAATACACTATGAAAATTAAGACTAGGCCAAGCTTGGCTTCAACTCAATTTTGGCCCTGTATCTGCAAGCCAATCCAGTCCTTCAAAACTTATGAGGGCGAGGCAGGGCTAGTTCACATATATTTTCCAAAAATATCATTTTGGTATATTGTGGTCTGGCAACTGGAAACAAAATATCAAATGTGGCGCATACCAAACTCAACAACTAGAGAAGTAAACATTTCAATAAAATCAGCTCATACGAAACTACTAAAGCAACATTATCGACGCCACTATGCTAGTTATGCAATGTAAATGTAATGTTAAGGTTTCAAGTAGACCTGATCAGGGGGAAGACGCCGTCAAACCTCTTTTTTTATAACCTTGAAATGTCACCCAAAAGAAAAAAAAACCAAACCAACCCGGTTAAAAACGCCGTAACAGGTAGGGGTGAGCATTTAACAGGATTGAAACTAACCAAAATAAAACCAAATTTCCGTTGTTTTTGGCCAGCTGAAGGGGCAAAAAAAAAAAAAACCAACAGCAACCAACGAATGGAGGAGGCAAAGGAATTACCATTGCATCAGAAATTACCTCTGCTACAGCGTACAAGAAGGTTTATCCCAAACCGATGAAAAATGAATAACCGAGGGAGAGACCAGCAGCCACGCACAGAACCAGACGCAGTCACGGCGAGACTGAGGGAAGCAACAGGAACGCAAGGGAGAGAGAAGGAAGAGGTTCGCGAGGTCCTAGGGATTGACGATTGGGTCGACGTTGGGAGAATGCCGTGATGGCGGTGACCACGATTGGGAGCGAGACTGATACAGAGACGGCAGGCGGTGACGGGCTGACAGTGGAAGAAGAGAGAGAGGCGACGGCGAGCAGAGGCAGAGCAGGAGTTTAGGCCCAAAAAAAGAAGACTTGAATGTGGGGTTTCTCTTTCTGGACTTTTGGGCTTTCTTTTCTTAACGTTGGACACTTGGATTTATTTCATAGGCCTACTTAGTACTTACCCCACAGTCCCACACTACACGCAGCAAAAAACAAAAAAGGAAGAAGAACAAAACAAGACTCTAAATTACAGGAAACAAATACTATCATAATTATAAAACATCATTTATAGTATATAAATGAGGTCTTACAATTAGAATCAGAGGTAGTATAAAACACAAAGGAAGGCATAAAAGAGATAGGCGATCATGACAATTTTGAAGACAGGTAGTTTCCATAAAAATAAAAGAAGAATTTCCTGTAACATAGTCGAATCAAGGGAGGGAACGAAGCGGAACGGGTAATGGGAAAAAAGAGAGACTCTTAAGTTTAAATTAATAGATTTTGAACCGACGATATTTAAAATTTACAGAATATTTTTTATCTTTTCACTATATTTTGAACCTTTAAGATTAAATTTTGGCAGTTTTTGCCTTAGGGATCAAGGAAAAGAAGGGCCTCAATTGAGTGAGAAGGCTGCGCAAATCCTCTGCCCTATTCTCTTGCCTGAGAAGGTCAGAGAGGTTTGTGATGGCTTGCTCTTTTATGCGCAGAGCCTCTGGAGAAGAAGAAGGATTGTCAAGTACACGATAAAGAATGGAGATCGCTTCAGAGGGGTCTTTGGCTTCCAACGCTTGAGCAATTGACTCAGTTGTTGCAGGAAGATACGGTGAAGACATGGCTGCTGCTTGGACAAATTCCTTCAAGAAACCAATTTCTATCAATAAGAAACTCAAGAGCAACAATTTATATAAACCTATGGAACAGGAAATTATTATCCCGCTGCTTCTCCTTTAGCCTTTTTTGAATTATTTTTTAATCTCTAAAAAAGTTGAACGTCTTTGCCTCTTGAAACTATTATAAGGCATTCATGAAAATCCTAAAGATATAAGGGAAGAGAGGCAGGATTTAAGGGCATTGATATTCTCTTATAAGCAACAGCAAGGGTATACAGCAGAATGCATAGCAGAAGTCCCTCATTTAGGAACATGCTTATATTTCAACATAGGGGCCTGAGCATGTTTCAATCTGAATTCTGAAAGGAAGTTTTACTTAATGAAAAATCCAATAAACCTAATCTCAGACATAATACACATTATTTTTAATGAAGGCTTGAGGAATGAGACTGGACACAATGAGAAAGTTTCAAGATAACACTAGGTTAAACCACATCTTGGAAGATACTCTGACATAAATTTAAACTGGAAACTCCCATATTTTTGCCCCCTTGTTCTGATCAGTAATAGAAATAAAATAAATGTTTTCAACGTTTTAATCAATAATAACAAGGTTTGAAACTGCTTAGACGAGAATTTAAAGATCCCTCTGTCTTTCAGAGGATGAATCCAAAATCAGCGAAAAGAATCTCTATATCCCTCAGTTATTAACTAATTAGCATATTTGTCCAGCCACATTCAACTCCCCAAATAACCCACCCACAGGGAAATAGAAAAAAATAATTACAAGAAAGGGTGATTAAGAGCTAATTTCAGTTTTATTTTGGTGTCAGAAATTTTTCAAAAAAGAAAGTATCTCATTATACCTGTGATATAAGTTTGAAATACAAAGGAAGAGAACCTATTTGACATCAGTTTTATTAAGGCATTCTTGCACCAACTAATAACTGGTGCAGAACAGAATTATCAACCTAGAGTGACAATGCCATACAAAAAAGTTGCATGGAACTATCAAAACGGAAGTGCACAGCGGGCAAAAAGAAAAACAGAAAAGGCAAAGGGAAGCATTTGCAAATGACCAGCAGCAAACCACTTCCGCTTTCAACAAGATATTTGAAAAACCAAAATTCAGTGACATTGCTTCGACGCTATAGAAAATTCCGAAACACAAGTATGACCATAATCAAAGTGCAATACCGCTGAAGCAACAATTATTTAATCAGAATATAAAAACTGGAAGAAGAAATTCTTGATTATGTAGAGATCTAGTCGGGAAGAGAGTCGTACGTCAAGTCTCAATCACATTAACATGATTCAACCTCCAGGCTCTACCATCTATGGAGACATAAACAATAACAAAATTTGAAAAATAATAATTATAAAAAAAGGTCACCAAAGGAAGCAATCGAAGTAGTCAAGCCACCGGAAGCCAAATTCATCCAAAGAATTGGCAAATATGATACTAACTAGAAAAATCAACTGTAAGTGAGAAAAAATCGGGAACCATAAAAAGTTCAAGAAACCCAGAGCAAATCAAATTAAAATGCTACTGGTCCAGGCTACAGAATTTAGGAGCATCCCTTTCAGAGTTGCAAAAAAAGAAAAAGAGGAAAAAGAGGAAGTCAAGAAAACAGATCCTGGTGGCTAGTTACCTGAAAAAGAAAGAGCAGAAGGAGGAGCGAATTGCGAATAGGCGCGGAAAGAGCGAAGCACCTGGACGATCTGAGACTGAGAAACCAGGTTGCTTGTTACTTCAGGAACTCGATGGCCACTTCGCCTGCGACGCAGAGTCTTGGATTACTTTGCAAGCAAAATGTTTATTGGGCTTCTATTATTAGTTTAAGCCGTACGAGTTTCGGCCTTTTCTTTAGCAGGACCACAATTCGAAGCCCATTATAATTTAGAACTTTTGAAGCGGAGATTTATAAATTTATTTGAAGCTTACCTTTTTTATAAAGATAAAAATGGTTTTCACACACACGTATATATAAGAAACATCGCATTACTGGATGTTATTTTATTTTATTTTATTTTTCATTATTATTATTTTTAGTTGAGCCTAGGATATCTTTTTGTGTGTGGCGGTGACTAATCTCCCAGCATTGTATGCTTTTTGAATAGGTTTTAGTGCTGGTCATGAAAACCTTTTCACATCCACCGTTGGGAAACTTAATTTGTATTTATTCAATTAAATTTTCAGTATATGCATGTTTGTGGTGGCCCTAGTCAGAATAGTTTCAATATTACTACCTCCGGTCTTTAATATAAAATCTTGTTTGACTTTTATTTTGGTCCTAATTATAATACCTCAATCCATTCTATCTCTTATATTTATGTATTTTTTTCTGAGGTAGTCTCTTTAATAATAGTAGTTCTAGCTAATAAACTTAATTAGTTAGGATATTTTAGGAAATATAACACCTATTTATTACAAATAACTAACTTAACATATTTTCTAAATCTCCTCAAATTGATCAACTAGCTTTTATAATTAAGACCGGAGGTAGTATATATTTATATTTGAACAGCTAAAATGACTCCACCATAAGAGATTTTATATCAATAATTAAACTGATAAATTTTACTACCTCTGATCCTAATTATAAGATTTCATTTATATAAACGAAGTCTTATAATTAAGACTAGAGGTAGTACAACTACAGTAAAATAAAAAATACCTCACCACTATTGCCCAAGCACATGTGCATGTATGAGACTATGAAAGGCAACGACGGATAATATGGTAGAGACGACAAGGCAAGGAAAATAATTAACACTGGCGTTGAACTCGCTAGTTAACCGAAGGCAAGGAAAATGAAAACTCCTCTCAACAATTTTATTAGTCGTTTAATCTTTTAAATTTTTCGCAAAGGAAATTTTTTCATCTCAACAAAAAATTTTTGACCTTAAAAAATCTTTTAAATTTATTTATTAAGCATTCATACATTCTTAAGATAAACACTTTAATTTCGTGACCTAACTAAAAATGTCAACCCCCCCCCCCCAAAAAAAAGAAAAAGAATGATTTGGCGCATAGCTTTTGGCTTTCAACGTCTTCACACCCCCGATTTAATCAATCAATCAATCAATCTTGTGCATGAAATACTGCTCTCCACTGATATTTCTTTGAGGAGCCACTTCAGTAGTATGTTCCATTAAGTAACTAGTAGAATTGAAAAATAAAAGTTAAACCAGCTTGCTTTCTCCTTTTTTCTGCGTGAATGCTTCAATAGATATGTTAAGTGACATAGACTACATTTTTTGTAAAGGAAAAAACAAATTAAAGCTGACAAATGAAGGAGAAATCGTACACCATATTGTGCCGAGCTTTTACATGGACAATCTGTATGATATTGACCAGCTCAAAACTTCTGGCCAAAGCTTAATACATGATCATCAGGCGCAAATTTGCCTCATTAATTCTCTCAAATAAGAAAACGCTATGACCAATTACTTTGAACCACGACCTTATTATCCAATCAAACTTCATACATCTCACGATTTTCATTGGCATCCTTATTCACTTTCTTGTCACATGAGAAAGTAAAGTCGAGATTGTAAAGAACAGGAACCATAGTGCAAGAACACAAGAAGACCAAGACGGGCCCAAAGATCCAAAGCAGAAGCGGGATTGCCGCGTAGAAGAGCCTATTTCCCAGAGTGTTGAGAATGAAGCCTTTCTCCAAGAGCTCGTGGAGGTACTCTGGTGTGACCAGGGACATGGGATCTTGAGGCGTGTTGATGAGGATGTTCACTTGGTTCATGAACCTTATGGACAGAGAGTGGCAGAAGAAGGAAAAGAGGAAGACGGTGAGGAGGGTGACGTACTTGAGAGCCACCATGAACTCTCCGTGAGCTCCATAAACGGTTTCGTTCACTGGCTTCTTCACACTGTAAGTGCTGCTTATAACTGCTGCTAGGCCTGAGCAGAGAAGGATCGCAGTTGTGGCCATTAAGGTCGATCCCATGATTGCGTTCCTTAATGATTGAACTGCCAGGATGTTTTTCTTCTCGTTGTCCTGTCATGTTCATCCACACACGTACGTTGTTATTTTTTTTTTTTTGGGGGGGTCACCCAAGAAAACTCATGGAACGAAGCATATATGCCCGACTTGTGTCTGTGACAATGCTGGATGGAAATCGTCTCCGCCACTTCTTGGCTATATGAAAAGTTTTTTTTTTTTTTATATATACACATAAAGCTTATGATCTATAATTTGGAATGCTGTTTTCTTTGTTTCTCTCTCAGGAATCATAGGAAAATCACAGGATCCAAATTAATGCGCCCAGAATATGTTCGCGGAAAATGGACTGAGTCATGGAACACGGTACAAGGTAATGGAAGATGTGCTGGCCACTTGTTAAAGCGGTAAGATCCTTGACACATAAAGGATATATGTGGTTTAAAAGTAGCCAAGAATATCGACACAAAATATAACTATTTTTTTTAGAGAAAATAGTTATCTTTTTTTTCACTGGCATATAACACACCATATATATATTATCCGTGCCAGAAGAGGCATGGCAAAAGTTTTGACATATCTATATCACGCAACAACAGCACTAGAATAATGAGGGAGAAAATAATGGAGGAAGAAGCTGCGAATGAGGAATTCGTCACATAATACGATATGGACAGAGATAGCGATCAAAGAAACTATTTATAAGCACATAAGAAGCATAGGGGATCAAACTTAATTAATCATTGCTGATCTCTAACTAGCTAGAATCAGTATATAGTTATATATAAATATGAATGCATGAGGACAGAAATAATCATGAAATGAAAGATGGAGATGTGCAGAAAATCAAGTGAATAATGAAATGAAGAAAAATGAAGAAATGAATACCTTGATCATTTGAGAAACCCAGTTTCGGCGGCCACTGGCATTGATGCCAATGATGGTGGTGTGAGGCTGAGTCCTAACCCTGTGCAACAGCCACAGATGGTAACCCAAGTTCATTAGAATCGCCAAGGGCACCAAAATCACGTCCATATAACACTTTCTCCATTCCATTCTCTCTCTCTCTCTCTCTCTCTCTCTCTCTGTGCCTTTGTTTCTCTTTTCGTCTTTCTCACCTGCTTGTGATCACAACCACGATATTTATACACGTCAAGCAAGGTTGATGTATGTGGACTCCTTCGAATGCGTGGTTCATTGTGCAAATAAAGTTATTTTTCACAACAAAATGGTCCCTTTCCTTTTGGCTTATTTACAAACCTAACCACACTTTTGTTTTTATTACTCCTCGAATCTTTTATATAAGAATTAGTTGAAATTAAAAAAAAAAAACTAGTTGAGACATCATATGTAGTCATAAATATATAAGACATTCATACACGCTATGTCCCTCATATTTATTATTTTTTGGAACTAATTTACTAAAATTAATTATAAACTGTAATTTACACATGGCTATTTTATGAAGATCAGATCGTGTTTTATAATTGACGAATTTATCTGTCTAATTTTCTTAATATATATTCAAATTAATTGATGAGCTTTTAGGAAGGGAATGAAATATTATATACATTTATCATGCAAGTGGAACCCGTGAGCCTTTGTTGACACCTAAATCACTTTTCCTTCGTCGTTTTTGGCACGCTTCACTGTCATGTTTAATTTGCCGTGCATGCTCTACGTTTATACGTTAATTCGTTTATAATGGTTTCTTGACCCAAACGCTAATTAGCTTATATATAACGCCCCATATATATATGTGGCGATGACGCGCGTGTTTGTGTATACAAGTTCAATAGTTCACACCAAAAATAATACGAAACGTAAAGTCCCATACTACATATGATACGTAACCGGACAGCTATCAGCTATTTAATCATAGGACAGAAATGGGGGAAAATGATATACTCACTTTATCTCAATTTCCAGTTCGCAAATAATTGCATGACTTTAGAAAAACACATATCCAAATAAAACACATCCATATATACATATAATATTGCGTGCAATTTGTCATCTTTTATATATATATATATATATATAAGAATGTCTTGACTTTATTAAATGTGAAACAACCTAAGGTCGGAGATGATATCGTTTTAAATTATTTGTCTCATGCCACTCAAACTCTGGATCTAACGTCCTTGTCGGTTTTACTTTAAATATATATAATTATATATATATATGTGTGTGTGTGTGTGTGTGTGTGCGAAGTACGTAAACGCACTGAAATATATATTTGGAAAAAAAAAACAGGCGAATAAAGGGGAGTGGCAAAATGGTGAATAGGTGAAAGATGGAGGGATTAAAAGGGGAAGGAGGAGGAAGAGGAGAGTGAGAAATGACATGGCGCATTAAACGTGGGGAGCCAAGATAAGAGAATAGCCAAAATGGGCGAAACCCGACACACGCCTTGTTCATGGCTCCCTTGAGCAATAAAAATGTGCTCCTTAGCTTTTTTTTTTTTTTTAAATTACAAATATATGTATCTTTTTATTAAAAATAATTTTATTTAAAATATTATTGAATACTAAATATAAATATTTCTCACAATGAGAATTTAAATACTTTTCAAGCAAGATAAAAAAAAAAGGAGTACTCCAGCAAAAAAAAGGAGCATATTTATCAGCATAGTACACACATCTAATACAAATAACGTATTCTTTTGGTCTTTAATATAAGAATTATTTAACTAATTTGATTAGATTAAGAAAGTTAAATAAGTTAGTTAATTATAAGAATGTGACATATTTTTCTTAAAAGACCATAATTATCTTTCTTAATATCCTTCTTCCCTCGCTTACTTGATTATAGTTGAAGAAGTATCCATAAAAATAATTTAAAAAAATTAATAAACATGATAAATAAGTTTTATATTTAAAATAAAAATTAACTTAAAAATTAGATCATATATTAAAGACCGAAAAAGTATATGTATAAATATGCCTGTTATGCATGTATTTGTGAGTTATAAATAGCTAATTTATAACATAATTTTTTATACACTAATTTATGACATAATTAAAATAAAGCATATCGACAAAAAAATTTTCAAACTTGAAAGAGTCTTCAAACACTATGGATTTGACGAAAAAATTCAAAACAAGTGGAATTAAAGAAAACAAAAATAATTAGAACTAATATACATTCCTTTTCTAAAACGTAATCGTCGTCTACTATTCTTTACGAGCTCAATCATCACTAATCGTCGTCGCTGCCACAGCACAATAAGCTCGTAATCAAATATTGAAATTCTGGTCGTTTCGTTACTCAGCTTATTCTCTGTCGTTTTAGCTTGGGGAGGGAAGATTCAGGCTTTGATAGGCCACTAATTAAAACTCAAGAACTTTCAGATATGAAATAAAATAGGTCTTGAACCTTCTTGGGAATTTCCCGGTTTAAAGTGTGCAAAACGAACTTTAATCCTTTTAATAATTTCGTCGGCCAAAACATGCAAAGTAAATTAACAACTAGGGTCATCAATGCTTTTGGGAAAGGGGGTCAAATAAGGAAAAAAATAAAAATGAGATAAAAGTAAGTGATCAACAGAGAAAATACAGAATTCCCATTGGGCAGCATTCAGGAGGCTCATGTAATGTGAAAATAATAATAATAACAATAATAATAATAATAAACAACTTGAATATGAGGATGCTTAGATGAAAAGAAGAAAGGATCATGGAGTTTTGTGCGTGTGTCCCTTTCTTGCAAAGCCTGCTTTTTGGAGGATATGATATATGGTGGACAATGTGCATTTCATTGACAATGCCTGGATATGTTTAAAAACTCCCCCCTTACTCAGGCCAGATCATTAAACCAGGAAGATATTGAACAGAACAATTAAATAAATAAAATTAAAGCTTCTCGATCGGCCATCTTTCTTCCCCTCTCTTTAAATTTCTGGATTATAATATTCATGGCAGAGAAGGCCAAAGATAAAAATATTTAAAAATAATTAATTGGTTCATGTGTGTGTTGCATGGAGCATCGAATATCGTCCACATTCTCATTCCAAAAAAATTAAAAAAAATATCCACGTTATTGTTGTGATTGGATGTCCATAACCTTCCAAATAAGGGGCTTTTAGAATTGCACCCATGAAATCTTTCTTGAGAATTTTCTATAATTGACCCTTTAAAAGTTATACAGTGTTTTGCAATTATATGAGTCAGTTCCCTTCTTTATGTCACGGTAGCCTTTTGTGTTGTTTAGTACGTCTATAAATAAAAGTCAAGTACCACACATACCTTGTATACCTAAGTGAATGAAAATTCTCTCCCATTTTTCTCGCTATATTTCTCTATTGTTTTTGTCCTGTTCTTCACATTTTCCTCTAATTTTCATTACAATAATAAATTTTACTATAAATTTTATAGTTTATATCAACTAATAGCTCAAAACCTCAATCAATTAATATAAAATTAGCTATGTTTTGTAGACAGTGGCACAGACTATAAGTTTTATACTTCACACTGATGTTATTCCGGACCTTTCCAATTATAAAACTAAAATAATGCGTATACATAGTTAGGTAGGGATAAATGACTCAGATATTTTTTATGCGAAAATACTCACGTCAAGTTATTTTTTTTTTCATGAGATATGTTAAGTTTTTTTATATCTAATATGTTAAGTGCTTCCTAATCACACATGATTATGCATTCTTTTCTTACATGGGCTTATAATTAAATTATGATAATTTTTTTTTTTAAAAAAAGGTATATGGCCATGCATGATTGAAAATTTTGACATGATGAATTATGCGTAACTTTAATTTCATACGTGATAGTACTTTTTTGTTGAATATATAATTACAGGAGGCTAAATTAATTTAAAATGGAAAAGTAAGTGTCCAATCATATGCCTATATAATGGGGGGCCATAATAAACAAAAAGTGGGTGGCCAACAAAACATATGGAGGAAGTGGATTATTATTAAGACATCCACCTTCCTCCATCATCCACTGTTTGTCTAGTGCTCCAACAAACATCCACACGCCAAAACAAAGCCAAGCCAAGTCATCAAAAAAATCCTAACCTCACATCTACTGTTAATTACATTTCAACTGAGACATGCCCCATTGCTTTATTTTATTTCATTTCATATACGCGGTACGTGTTTCTGTTAATTATCCCAAAATACCTAACATTTTGAGCACCCAATGACCACAGGAAGGAAACCATTAGCGAGAATATACCCTTTAATATTCTTTTAGCTTAAATAAATTAGTGGCCTTACCTATTTAAGTTTGAGGCCAGTATTACAATATATGGGTGGAATTTTGTTTCATTCTTAAATTCTTTGCTGATACCTTTTTGTTTTTTGAAAAATAACGTAGTTGACAAAATCTGTGATGTATTCTATTAATTTAGTGTCGAAAACAAAAAACCCAATGCTCATTAATAAGCAGGCTCTCAAAATGAGTCAGTGGGAAAACTCAGCTGAAATATATATATAATGGTTTCTCACTACTGTCTCCAATTTCTCCACTCTGCTGAAAAGAGATATCGGACAGGCCAGTTTGAACCTCTGGATGGATCCACATTCTACGATACCGTACCAATTAAACCATATGCTTGCAATTATCTACCAATCATCAAGAGCAATTTCTTGCGCCAGAAAATGCCCCTAAATTCCACTGCCCATAATGGTCTCTGTCTCTTCACGCTTGTAATAATTTCTTGCGCCATTTTCTGAAAGTGATTCACAGTCACATGCAAATTAGTACAATTCATTCTTATTGTTGCTGCCACAATTGCAAAATCTTAATGAATTGTCCCCCAAGTGAATTCCATCGCTCCCTCCACGTCCTTTGCTCAAATGCTCACATCTATTCTCTCTTGTGTTGTCGCCGAAAATGCATAATCCACGAATGGTGCCTCCAAATTCATTTTATATCTGGACTAGCTGTGCTCAACACACAGAAAAGACCTAAAATTATATCCTTTGATTTTCTGCACATCTCCATCTTTCATTTCATGATTATTTCTGTCCTCATGCATTCATATTTATATATAACTATATACTGATTCTAGCTAGTTAGAGATCAGCAATGATTAATTAAGTTTGATCCCCTATGCTTCTTATGTGCTTATAAATAGTTTCTTTGATCGCTATCTCTGTCCATATCGTATTATGTGACGAATTCCTCATTCGCAGCTTCTTCCTCCATTATTTTCTCCCTCATTATTCTAGTGCTGTTGTTGCGTGATATAGATATGTCAAAACTTTTGCCATGCCTCTTCTGGCACGGATAATATATATATATATGGTGTGTTGTATATGCCAGTGAAAATAAAAGATAACTATTTTCTCTAAAAAAAAATAGTTATATTTTGTGTCGATATTCTTGGCTACTTTTAAACCACATATATCCTTTATGTGTCAAGGATCTTACCGCTTTAACAAGTAGCCAGCACATCTTCCATTACCTTGTACCGTGTTCCATGACTCAGTCCATTTTCCGCGAACATATTCTGGGCGCATTAATTTGGATCCTGTGATTTTCCTATGATTCCTGAGAGAGAAACAAAGAAAGAGAGAAAGAAAACAGCATTCCAAATTATAGATCATAAGCTTTATGTGTATATATAAAAAAAAAAAAAAAACTTTTCATATAGCCAGAAGTGGCGGAGACGATTTCCATCCAGCATTGTCACAGACACAAGTCGGGCATATATGCTTCGTTCCATGAGTTTTCTTGGGTGACCCCCCAAAAAAAAAAAACTAACAACGTACGTGTGTGGATGAACATGACAGGACAACGAGAAGAAAAACATCCTGGCAGTTCAATCATTAAGGAACGCAATCATGGGATCGACCTTAATGGCCACAACTGCGATCCTTCTCTGCTCAGGCCTAGCAGCAGTTATAAGCAGCACTTACAGTGTGAAGAAGCCAGTGAACGAAACCGTTTATGGAGCTCACGGAGAGTTCATGGTGGCTCTCAAGTACGTCACCCTCCTCACCGTCTTCCTCTTTTCCTTCTTCTGCCACTCTCTGTCCATAAGGTTCATGAACCAAGTGAACATCCTCATCAACACGCCTCAAGATCCCATGTCCCTGGTCACACCAGAGTACCTCCACGAGCTCTTGGAGAAAGGCTTCATTCTCAACACTCTGGGAAATAGGCTCTTCTACGCGGCAATCCCGCTTCTGCTTTGGATCTTTGGGCCCGTCTTGGTCTTCTTGTGTTCTTGCACTATGGTTCCTGTTCTTTACAATCTCGACTTTACTTTCTCATGTGACAAGAAAGTGAATAAGGATGCCAATGAAAATCGTGAGATGTATGAAGTTTGATTGGATAATAAGGTCGTGGTTCAAAGTAATTGGTCATAGCGTTTTCTTATTTGAGAGAATTAATGAGGCAAATTTGCGCCTGATGATCATGTATTAAGCTTTGGCCAGAAGTTTTGAGCTGGTCAATATCATACAGATTGTCCATGTAAAAGCTCGGCACAATATGGTGTACGATTTCTCCTTCATTTGTCAGCTTTAATTTGTTTTTTCCTTTACAAAAAATGTAGTCTATGTCACTTAACATATATATATATATAAGCATTCACGCAGAAAAAAAGGAGAAAGCAAGCTGGTTTAACTTTTATTTTTCAATTCTACTAGTTACTTAATGGAACATACTACTGAATAGTGGCTCCTCAAAGAAATATCAGTGGAGCAGTATTTCATGCACAAGATTGATTGATTGATTAAATCGGGGTGTGAAGACGTTGAAAGCCAAAAGCTATGCGCCAAACCAACTTTTTTTTTTTGGGGGGGGGGGGTTGACATTTTTAGTTAGGTCACGAAATTAAAGTGTTTATTTTAAGAATGTATGAATGCCTAATAAATAAATTTAAAAGATTTTTTAAGGTCAAAAATTTTTTGTTGAGATGAAAAAATTTCCTTTGCGAAAAAGTTAAAAGATTAAACGACTAATAAAATTGTTGTGAGGAGTTTTCATTTTCCTTGCCTTCGGTTAACTAGCGAGTTCAACGCAAGTGTTAATCATCCCTTGTCGTCTCTACCATATTATCCGTCGTTGCCTTTCATAGTCTCATACATGCACATGTACTTGGGCAATAGTAGTAAATTATTTTTTATTTTACTGTAGTTGTACTACTTCCAGTCTTAATTATAAGACCTCATTTATATAAATGAAGTCTTATAACGAGGTCTTATAATTAGAATCGGAGATAGTAAAATTTATTAGTTTAATTATAGATATAAAATCTCTTATGATGGGGTCATTTTAGCGGTTCAAATATAAATATATATTATCTCCAGTTTTAATTATAAAAGCTAGTTGACTAATTTGAGGAAATTAAGGAAATATGTTAAGTTAGTTATTTGTAATAAATAGGTGTTGTCTTTCCTAAAATATCTTTGCTAATCAAGTTTATTGGCTAGAACTACCATTATTAGAGGGACTACCTTAGGAAAGAATGAATAAATATAAGAGACAAAATGGATTGAGGTCTTATAATTAGAACCAAAATAAAAATCAAACAAAATTTTATATTAAGGACCGGTAGTAATATTGAAACTATTCTGACTAGGACCACCACAAACATGCATATACTGAAAATTTAGGGTGTTTTTGGATGAAACCAAACCGTGGTTTAGAAAAGTGATTCTGGAGAATAGATTCTGGAAAGAATAGATTTTATGAAAAAGTGATTTTGAGAAGTGAGAGTGTTTGGATAGTTGTTATCAGAAGCACTTTTTATATATACAAATTACTAAAAAAAAGACACAAGTTAATATGATAATTACAGAAAAAAAATAGATTTTATGATATATTTTAATTTGAAGGAATAAAATTGTTAATAATATATTTTTTATTAACATAATTAATAATACATAAGATAATATAATTAATAATTAATTAATATGTATATATATTTATAAAATATAAGATTAAATATGTTTATAAAAAAAATAACAAGATACATATCCTATAGGCTTTTACACTCTCCTTTTTTTCTCCAAAAGCAAAATTTTTTTGCTTTTTCCAAAACCATGGTTTTGGTTTTTGGGTGACTGTTTGGATGATTTATTTCCCAAACCATGGTTTGTGGTATCACCCAAACACAGCCTTAATTGAATAAATACAAATTAAGTTTCCCAACGGTGGATGTGAAAAGGTTTTCATGACCAGCACTAAAACCTATTCAAAAAGCATACAATGCTGGGAGATTAGTCACCGTCACAGATGAAAAGATATCCTAGGCTCAACTTAAAAAATAATAATGAAAATTAAAAGAAAACAAAATAACATCCAGTAATGCGATGTTTCTTATATATTTGTGTGTGTGAAAACCATTTTTTCTCTTTATAAAAAAGGTCAGCTTCAAATAAATTTATAAATCTCCGCTTCTAAAGTTCTAAATTATAATGGGCTTCGAATTGTGGTCCTGCTAAAGAAAAGGCCGAAACTCTCACGCAGGCCCATCATAGGTTTCCCATACGGCTTAAACTAATAATAGAAGCCCAATAAACATTTTGCTTGCAAAGTAATCCAAGACTCTGCGTCGCAGGCGAAGTGGCCATCGAGTTCCTGAAGTAACAAGCAACCTGGTTTCTCAGTCTCAGATCGTCCAGGTGCTTCGCTCTTTCCGCGCCTATTCGCAATTCGCTCCTCCTTCTGCTCTTTCTTTTTCAGGTAACTAGCCACCAGGATCTGTTTTCTTGACTTCCTCTTTTTCCTCTTTTTCTTTTTTTGCAACTCTGAAAGGGATGCTCCTAAATTCTGTAGCCTGGACCAGTAGCATTTTAATTTGATTTGCTCTGGGTTTCTTGAACTTTTTATGGTTCCCGATTTTTTCTCACTTACAGTTGATTTTTCTAGTTAGTATCATATTTGCCAATTCTTTGGATGAATTTGGCTTCCGGTGGCTTGACTACTTCGATTGCTTCCTTTGGTGGCCTTTTTTTATAATTATTATTTTTCAAATTTTTTTATTGTTTATGTCTCCATAGATGGTAGAGCCTGGAGGTTGAATCATGTTAATGTGATTGAGACTTGACGTACGACTCTCTTCCCGACTAGATCTCTACATAATCAAGAATTTCTTCTTCCAGTTTTTATATTCTGATTAAATAATTGTTGCTTCAGCGGTATTGCACTTTGATTATGGTCATACTTGTGTTTCGGAATTTTCTATAGCGTCGAAGCAATGTCACTGAATTTTGGTTTTTCAAATATCTTGTTGAAAGCGGAAGTGGTTTGCTGCTGGTCATTTGCAAATGCTTCCCTTTGCCTTTTCTGTTTTTCTTTTTGCCCGCTGTGCACTTCCGTTTTGATAGTTCCATGCAACTTTTTTGTATGGCATTGTCACTCTAGGTTGATAATTCTGTTCTGCACCAGTTATTAGTTGGTGCAAGAATGCCTTAATAAAACTGATGTCAAATAGGTTCTCTTCCTTTGTATTTCAAACTTATATCACTGGTATAATGAGATACTTTCTTTTTTGAAAAATTTCTGACACCAAAATAAAACTGAAATTAGCTCTTAATCACCCTTTATTGTAATTATTTTTTTCTATTTCCCTGTGGGTGGGTTATTTGGGGAGTTGAATGTGGCTGGACAAATATGCTAATTAGTTAATAACTGAGGGATATAGAGATTCTTTTCGCTGATTTTGGATTCATCCTCTGAAAGACAGAGGGATCTTTAAATTCTCGTCTAAGCAGTTTCAAACCTTGTTATTATTGATTAAAACGTTGAAAACATTTATTTTATTTCTATTACTGATCAGAACAAGGGGGCAAAAATATGGGAGTTTCCAGTTTAAATTTATGTCAGAGTATCTTCCAAGATGTGGTTTAACCTAGTGTTATCTTGAAACTTTCTCATTGTGTCCAGTCTCATTCCTCAAGCCTTCATTAAAAATAATGTGTATTATGTCTGAGATTAGGTTTATTGGATTTTTCATTAAGTAAAACTTCCTTTCAGAATTCAGATTGAAACATGCTCAGGCCCATATGTTGAAATATAAGCATGTTCCTAAATGAGGGACTTCTGCTATGCATTCTGCTGTATACCCTTGCTGTTGCTTATAAGAGAATATCAATGCCCTTAAATCCTGCCTCTCTTCCCTTATATCTTTAGGATTTTCACGAATGCCTTATAATAGTTTCAAGAGGCAAAGACGTTCAACTTTTTTAGAGATTAAAAAATAATTCAAAAAAGGCTAAAGGAGAAGCAGCGGGATAATAATTTCCTGTTCCATAGGTTTATATAAATTGTTGCTCTTGAGTTTTTTATTGATAGAAATTGGTTTCTTGAAGGAATTTGTCCAAAGCAGCAGCCATGTCTTCACCGTATCTTCCTACAACAACTGAGTCAATTGCTCAAGCGTTGGAAGCCAAAGACCCCTCTGAAGCCATCTCCATTCTTTATCGTGTACTTGACAATCCTTCTTCTTCTCCAGAGGCTCTGCGCATAAAAGAGCAAGCCATCACAAACCTCTCTGACCTTCTCAGGCAAGAGAATAGGGCAGAGGATTTGCGCAGCCTTCTCACTCAATTGAGGCCCTTCTTTTCCTTGATCCCTAAGGCAAAAACTGCCAAAATTGTAAGGGGAATAATTGACTCTGTTTCTAAAGTACCAGGAACATCTGACTTACAAATTGCACTCTGCAAAGAAATGGTGCAATGGACTCGTGCTGAAAAGCGTACCTTTTTGAGGCAGCGAGTTGAGGCAAGGCTTGCAGCACTTCTCATGGAAAATAAGGAGTATGCTGAAGCTCTGACTCTCCTTAGTGGTTTGGTCAAAGAGGTTAGAAGGTTGGATGACAAGCTTCTACTTGTAGACATTAACTTGCTGGAAAGCAAGCTGCACTTCTCACTGCGAAACCTTCCCAAGGCGAAAGCTGCCCTCACAGCTGCAAGAACAGCTGCAAATGCTATTTACGTGCCCCCAGCTCAACAAGGTGCAATAGATCTGCAGAGCGGGATTCTTCATGCTGAGGAGAAGGATTATAAAACTGCATATAGTTATTTCTTCGAAGCTTTTGAGTCTTTCAATGCTCTTGAAGACCCCAAGGCTATTTTCAGCCTAAAATATATGCTGTTGTGCAAGATCATGGTGAGTCAAGCAGATGATATAGCTGGGATCATTTCTTCTAGAGCAGGCCTTCAATATGTTGGGCCTGACTTGGATGCCATGAAAGCTGTTGCAGATGCTCATTCCAAGCGGTCCCTGAAGTTATTTGAGATTGCTTTGAGGGATTTCAAGGCACAATTGGAGGAAGACCCAATTGTTCACAGGCACCTATCGTCCCTGTATGATACCCTTCTGGAGCAGAATCTTTGCAGATTGATTGAGCCATTCTCAAGGGTTGAGATTGCACATATTGCTGAGCTTATTGAACTTCCTGTTGATCATGTGGAGCGAAAGTTGTCTCAGATGATCCTGGACAAGAAATTTGCTGGGACATTGGACCAAGGGGCTGGATGCCTTATCCTGTTCGATGATCCTAAGACTGACGCAATTTATCCTGCAACTTTAGAAACCATTTCTAATATCGGGAAGGTCGTAGATAGTCTCTTTGTTCGGTCTGCAAAGATTATGGCATAGCCCTCGTTTTGTTCCCTTGGTATTGATTCTGCTTTATTTCTTGACTTAGGGATGTTCCAGTCCACATAGTGTTGATCATTATTCCTGGTTCTGTTCATTCTGATTTGCGATCGCTGTGTTCCATGAGTTACTTTTATATGATCCGCATGAGGAGGGATTTGTCTTGGGACGAATGAAATTGAAATGACTACGGAGACTTGTGTATTCAATTTTAGCATTTGTTACCTCCGATTTGGGGACGCTTAATCAATACTACATCTGGTTCTAATTATAATAGTTATTGACTAATTTGAGAAGATTAAAAAAATAAGTTAAGTTAGTTATTTGTAATAGATAGGTGTTGTCTTGTTTAAAACATCCTTACTAATCAAGTATATTGGCTAGAATTATCCTTATTAGAAGGGTTACTTTAAGAAAAAATGCATAAATATGAGAGATAAAATGAATTGTGGTCTTATATTTAAAACCAACATAAAAGTCAGACGAGATCTTATATTAAGGACTGGAGGTAGTATCATTATCAATATATCAATATAAAATTATAAAATTTAAAATTGGCATCTTAGATAAGTAAATTTGTTGAATAGAGCTCTTTTTGTTGTGTTTATTTGTTTCTGAAAGGGGAGTCCCATTTATTGTTGTTCAATGTTCATCAGTAACTAGTAAGTGATGCGGCCTTCAAATTATCCCAGGTAAACAGCCATAGAAAATTTGTATTCTACTGGGAAAGAAACGGATATAAATTTTTTTCCCTTTCTGTTGTTAAAAGAATTTATTCTTTTTAATCTTTCATGCCCTGCAGTCTGCAGGTTTACAAGATCTTGTTATGAAGTGTGTATAACACGCCAAAAAAAAAAAGACTAAAATTTTAAGGTTCCGAATAAGGAATTACTAAACAATGTGTTATTATTTGTTTTTTTGAATATAATCATTTTCTTTAAAAGTGTAGTAATCAATACTGATTTAAAATTTTAAAATTTAACAGTTTTTTTTAATTTTTCCAGAAAAAACACCAACCCCCAAGGAAAAAAAAAGAAACGCCTAAAAGTATTCAAAACGTTGGCTTTTTCAAGTATTTTTTAATCAAAAAATATCAATAGAATGCTTATTAAATATGTGTATCAATTCACTTCTCAAAATATTTGGTGCTAGTAAATTAATTTACAAAGGTTGAAATAAACATAAATATAGAGCAACTGTTGCAGGTTAGATTATGTGGTATATTCGCAACTTTTTGTGGGATCCCTGCATTTCCTTTAGCCAGAACTTCATCCTTAAGAAACCAACTTTTAAATTGTTCATGAACCACCTGCCTTTTTGCCCATTGATGTATTCGATCTTTCTACAAAAAGCTCCTATCATATAATCCACTAGTATCGACTGCTCAATATATCATAATTCATCCTAATGTTATTCTTTTCTTTAAATCTATCTAACTTATTTTTCATTCTGAGTTAAGTCAAACTATTTGTTACCCCATGTAATTCGCTATAAATTTGATATTTAATGTGTTGATGGTGGGAATTTGATATAATTTCTAGCTGTCTTTTTAGTTTTTAGTCAGTCGTTTTATAAAATATTCTTTTATGCTGTATCTATAGAGACACTGAGGCATAGCAAGACTGATGATCTTCAATCTCGTGCTACTTATTATTCAGACTCTTATCCCAAAAGGGTATGATAATGGGAGATACAAATTAAATGAAGAAATAGTAAAACAGAGTGCATATATATATATATATATATATATTATGATATTAAACCACAGGCTTATAGACAGTGCTCGAGATACTTCTGTAAAGTGGAGAAAAAGGGAAAAAGTTGACATAGGCAAAGTTAGGCAAGTGATGTTCCTTTCTGAGTCTACCCGGTTTGACATCAAAGCAAGAGGGTAAGCAAAATCCATCACACACACACACACACAGACTAATTCCCATACGTGCATAATAGAGTTGGTTTTAATTTAAGCATGGCTGTGGCTTAGCCGTTAAGTAATGCCCATTTTCTCTTCATATAATAACCCTTTAATTTCCATCAGTTGAGTTGCTTTTCTCCCTTTCGCTTTCCTTTTTTCAATTAATATAATGATAACCTTTTCTGTCACTTGTTTCCAGCCTTCGCTCTTTGTTTTTACGCTGAAACAAAGATTGGCAGTAATAAAATAAGCATTCCCAAAAAACAAATAAAAAACGTTCCTTTTGTCCCTCAAGTTGTTAGTCTTTTAATTTAACTGTTGGTTAGGATGGTTATAGTGGTTGTGTTTGAGGCTTGTGTAGTAATTTTCTTCGACAATTCAAAGATAAAACCTCCCAAGTCCCAACTTTGTCCCTGGATATTTTATTTGCGATTCAAATGTTATTAAAAAGAGGAATGTCATTTGAGTTCATATGTTGATGCCAACAAGTGGAAACAAATTAATTAAGGCCAAGAATATAGGATCTAGTGACCTATAGAAGCAAAAAACTGCTGAGTTTATTTACCGACTGAACAATATAGGCCTAATATACCAAATTTTGTCTTCATTTGGATGGTTTTTGGATCAAGTTGCGGGTGGGATGTTCAAGTGGAAGCTCATTATCGACGAGCTGTTTTTTTTTTTTGGGAAAAAAATAATTGGAGAAGCATGCACAAATAATATACTCTATATTAAGAAAAGATATTTCGTGCCCATTCATCTCTATCCCTCTTTCCCACTTTCTTTATGCATGGTTTGCTAATATCTTCTTATATTTAGTACATATCTTTTTAGTTGTTTTTTTCTTTTAAACGTGGAGCAGCAGAAAGATGTGCACCAAAAGCATGCGCACAATCTATTTCCGGTTTCTGGCTTTATTGTGTGTTTGGTTCAAAAATTAAACGTTTGTAAAACAGATAATAATTTGTCAGAATGAATTAAAAATCGCAACAAAGAATTATTTTTACTTACGCTTACGAAACTAACTTTTTTCCGTCTATATTTTGTTCCTCTATAAGCTAAGCTCTTGAGAGTAGTCAAATATTATTAGTTAGGGCAAAAGCTTTTTTCTATATATATATTTTTTAAATCCTTCAAACATACACTACGTCCATTATCGTTAATATAAGAGTTACCCACCTAATAATTTAAGTAAATTAAATAAACTAAATAAATTAGTTAATCTTAATAAATGTGATATAATTTCTCTAAAGTATTTTTATACAACATGAGGTTATACTACATCTGGTCCTTAATATATGAGTTAGATAACTAATTTGTGAATATGAAAAAAAACTAGTTAAGTTAATTATCTGTAACAAATGAGTGTTGTATTTCTTAAAATATCCTTGTTGATCATGTGCATTAGAATAGAAATATTTTAACCTATACAATCACTGTGAGGACTACTTTGGGGGAAAAAATAAATATAAGAGACAAAATATAATGAAATTTTATATTTACAACCCAATTAAATCTTCAACCAACTCTTATATTTAGGATAGAAGGTAGTATATTAGTTTATAGGCTATGTAAGTTACTATGAGAAAATATAACAAATATAAAAAAAATAAAATATATTATTAAAGCCTTACTTTTAGAATCAAAACCAACTCTCTGGCTAGCTTATACATTTAGGGCAAAAGGTAATCCAAGCGAAAAAGAAAAGTAAAAGAGCAAAAATCCATATAATGTGTGGTTGTCCCAGTCAAAATGTGATGAAGTATTGAAGTTGAACAGAACTTCCACCTTAAGAAAACCCACTTGGAATTGCATGCCTCAAAGGCCATCCCATAAGGCTTTTTCCAAAAGCTAATTAAAAGTGTTTTAGCACCACCCCCCCTACTTTGCCTTTGTGGTCACTACCTATTTGCCTTTCTCTAATTCCATGATTGGCGTAATTATATTCATATTTAACTCATGCTTTAATTTATTCAGTCTCTCCTTCCCATTTCTCATCTTTGCCCTCCCCATCATTTTTCTTAGTGTTTTTAACTAAACGACATTATGAGTTCTATTGCCTTTTCCTTAATTAAATATCAATGCTCTCATCATTTCGTATTTAGTGTTCTTAGTCAATGAGACACATTTCCGTTTATCTATTTCTTTCTTTCTCATTTTATATAACATATACAGATTTGCCAAGCCTTGAATTAATTGTTATCTCGCATCATCTGTTGCTTTTTAACTGGATAAACATGCGAAAATTTTTGTGAGGACTCTTTTATTACTATTAATTTTATATTTGTGACATTTATGAAATTTGAGTATCGATGTTGAATAATATTACTTCAATATAAGACATAGTTGACTAATTTGAGTATATTACAAAAAACCAATTAAGTTAGTTATTCGTGATAAATAGGAGTTGCATTTCTTAAAACATCTTTACTAATCAAGTATATTGACTAGAAATACTATTATTACAAGGATTATCTTAAAAAAAACTGAATAAACATAAGAGACAAATTGAATTAGAGTTTTATATTTAATACCAAAATAAAAATCAAACGAGCACATATAGTATGTTCCAAACTCTAGTTCTAGTAAATGGATATTCTTGTCATCATCAATATATACAGTTTGAAGTGCATAAAACTATTTAGAAAGTTGAACATAGTACTGTTTCTGATATCAACCTGTGCAATGCACTAGAAAATTCATCTAACAGCGATGTAATTATGTAAAGTAATCAACAGAAATTAGTATTTATTTGTGTTGCAAAAGAAGAAATTATTTTTTTATTTAATTATTTATTGACCCAAAATTTCATTTAAGAGTTTCAATTTTTTTTTTGGGTGAAATTTACTAGCTTCAATTTAAACCCTGGCTCTATAAAGTATAAACCAATAGCAAAAGCTATCTTATTATCCCTGTCTAATTGATCAAGGCATGATAAATTAGATTACTTGCATGTCTTTTGTTCTCAGTGTGTCTAAAAAAAAATAGTCTCCATTGCCTGGGTGGTGTGTTTTTTGTATCCCCAAAAAAGAAAGAAAATGTGAGTGTGCATGGGAGCTTCCCGGGTGCCCTAATTTTATATTTATTAAATATTTTCTCTGCAACTGTCTATATATAAACATAGGCTTGATACATTAACTTTTTAAGGATTCAAATTAAATAAATACTCCTCCAGTCCTTATTATAAGATCCAATTTGACTTTTTATTTGGTCCTAATTATAAGACCCAATCCATTTTGTCTCTTATATTTATGCATTTTTTTCCAAGATAATCCTTCTAATAATGATAGTTTTAGCCAATATACTTAATTAGCAAGGATATTTTAGGAATGACAACACTTATTTATTATAAATAACCAACTTAACTTACTTCCTTAATCTCCTCAAATAAGTCAATTGGGTCTTATAATTAGGACCGGAGGAGTATATAATAACAAGTAACTTAGTGGGTTGGAAGGATAAATTTGTCTTTTAGACAGGAGGCGCGCCCGCATAGTGTTCGAATGGGCGCAAACAGTGACTTTTTACTAACTAATAAGTTTTTTGGCAAAAAAAAAAACCTAATTAATAAGGTGAAACCCAATGGACCGTACCTATTAATCTAATGTCATCATTTTTGGCACACTAATCTTCCATTAATGATTTGATTTTTTTATGCCCTGGTCCCGCCTTTTCTTTTATTCAACCAGAAAAATTCATGCACTTATTATATTCATGCAGTGTTAAACTCATTTTTTCTAAATATAAATATCAACATATTTCTTAAATCATGTAATTTTGTTTCATTGAATTTTATAAAAAGAACAGAAATTAGTGCATATACAGTCGTGTTTTAATTCAAGCATATAGTCTAATTATTATGTATGCGGACAATTTTTTCCCTACACGTGGACAATATTATACCGTAATAATAATGTACATGCCTTTAATTTTTGCCCCTCTCCTCAATAATCAATAATAATTATATCTATAGAAGTTTTGAACTTGACTTGAATTTACATCATACGTTCTCTTAATTTTTACAAAAAAAAAATATTAAAAAGGCCAAAGGTATTTATGAATTTTTGAAACTAAAAAGGCGAGTATCTAACATTCATATTAATATTATTAGATTATAAAGTGACTGGGTAAGAAAAAGACACGTATGTTTATTGGGCAATCGGTTTGTTTTCGGGAAAGTTCCAAGTTCACTGAATTATCATGTCTAGTGGGCTCCTTCCTTCATTCGAGGTGACAATTGGCCAACAAGGATAATTTAGAGATTTTACATCTCCCCAGAAACTTTTTGGTGCTTAGCTTTTCACTTCATGTGCTGTCCAACTGCACAGGCTTTCTTCTTCTTCTTTTTTGTTGCCTAAAAAGATTTAGATTTCTTTTATTTTTTTGGTAACAAAAAGATTTAGATTTCTGCTCACGTACTTTAGCTCTTTCGTCCCTATTTATACATCTTCGGTTCATTCGATCACTCCCCTTTTCCCTCACCTCCCAATCTCCCCCTCCATATCACTCTCTTGCTGTCTGTGTTCTTCCCTGCATAATGGAGCCCTGCCCTTCGATTCAATCAGTTACTGCGTCGTCCATCTACCCCGCCGACGGCGGCTTCCCACGCATCACGTCGGAGTGGGATGCGGAAGAGTTCATGGCGTTGGTGTCGGAAATGACGAACGGATCCGTGATCGATGAGGACGTGAAATCGGGCGAGTTCATGTGTCAGAGTGTCAACAGAGGTTTCGCCGGCGGTGAGGATGCATACTTCAACGGCGTCAGCCTCGATGAGCTTCAGGCCGCTTTGGTTAGTGCTATGCTACTGCTCACTTTGACTGTTAGGAACCACGTTGGGGGCACGTGTTGTCACGTCACGAAGCAGTTTCGATCACTTGTGACGTGGCAACAAGATCGCATCTAACACGCTTTCTCTGTGACCATTGTGGCAGCTTGTATATTGCAGTATATTACGGCCTCCTGCTCCCTCATGCATGAAACCCTAATTTCACTTTACAAAACATTTATTTGTTATAAATAATTAATTAAATTAAAATTTTTAAATATATATTCGTAATTTACTTATTTGTTTTTTTTATATTAAGTATCAGAACAAGTATCATTTATCACTAAATCATTATCATTATGACAAGATCCAGTATAAATTATTATGCCAATTCTGTTGGCCTCGCAGACACGGGCTGCCTTTTCTTCACTTTTTAAAAAGAAAAGAAAAAACTCTGGGAATAATATATTACTAATACTAACACTATTCATGGACATCCTAAAATGATTGGAGTATTTTTTGAAAAGAAATCATAATTAGTTGTTCGATTGTAATTATAGTTTTTCATTGCAACATAATATTTCCATTTCCTGAAGAGTCCCCTATTTGCGATTTTATTGAATGATTGCTTGTAAATGATTTGTTTTGCCGTTGCCTTCGCTTGCCCTGTTACCGATGATTGGGATCAAAGCAGAGGGGTAATCTTGTCATTGTGAATCATGCTCCGCTTCATCTAACAATCTTATTTATTTATCTGCCCTTTCATTTTTGGAATCATATGCTTATTTTCCTTTTCTGCCATCATGATTCGTGAGTGGTGTCACCAGAAGTTCACTCCCTATATCCCCAACCTGACTGAACTCAAATTCCAACAAGTTGTACATTAAAAGGCAAAACTGCTGTTACATGCTCATCTCAAACCCTCTAAAATCACTTTTAAAATTCAACACAACAATAGCTTCGAGCAATAACATTACTGATGGTAGTTATAAATTCTTTAGTATTCCTTTTGTCAGTCATATAATCAGATTGAATTAAATCTCGAATTTTTTATCAAGAACTCCGTCTTATGTAGTGTTCATATATAATTGCAGGAAACTGATGTGAGTGAATTTTCAGCTTCAGGAGAACTAGACGATAACAATATTGCCTGGGCCCAAAACATCACTCCCAGTCGTTCTCCCATTTCCTGTATCACCGAGTCTCCCTCATCGATTTGTGGTACTCGCCGATGAGCGACACACTTGTATTTGTGATCATTTGAATTAATTTTCCTCACCACACACGTCGTACGATAATAGATAAACTGATATACAGACATATATGTGTGCGTGTGTGTGCGCATGGCATCCTAGACAGGATTGTAGCTCATAAAACCTAATCTAGTTGGTCTAGTATAATAACATTTCGGATGATTTGCATTTATAACTGGCCAGTTGGAAGCCCCACGTCAGCTAATCAACCAAACCCAATAGGTAATCAAGCAAGAGGAGCATCAAGCGGTGAGCAGTCTGACGAGGATGATGAAACAGGTCCCTGCGAGCAGATCATAGATCCCACTGATAAGCGCGACAGAAGGTGTGTGTGTGTGTGTGTGTTAAAACACTCAAAACAGGTTAATTACACAATTCGTCCTTCCCCTCTTAACATGATTATCAACGTCTCAGGAAGAAATCTAATCGGGAGTCTGCAAGAAGATCGAGAAGAAGAAAACAAGCGCACATGGCTGACCTTGAGACGCAGGTATAATTATATTTTCGTGGAGTTTAAGGTGTTTGAATTTTAGTGGTCTTTGTTGCAGTGCACCAGAACATGTGTATATATAAAACTAGAATCATTGCCCCTAGCAAAGCAAAGTATCTGAATAATCTGTTATTAAGATATGGATCAGCGCGCGCTACACATTTTCTTAAATGGGGAACTAGACTCTCACAGCATGATGAATCTTAGGCGAGTTGCTCATATTTAGTGTCCATGACTCGAATAGAATTGCCTCTCCTAAGATACCGAGGCGTAAGAGGAAAAAATAAAAAAAATTCAAGACCAAATCTCTAGTACGTACCATGCAACGGTCATCGTTTTCTTTGCATCTGCATTTTCTATTATTTACATCTCCTGTAAGAAATTTTGAATTTTATGGCTTTCTCAGGTTGAGCAACTGAGGGTGGAAAATTCAAATCTATCCAAGCAGCTTATAGATGCTGACCAACATTTTCGTGAGGCTAATACTGATAACCGAGTGCTGAAATCAGGTGTGGAAGCGTTGAGAGCCAAGGTAACGTTATGCAAAATTAAAGTAACACGATCAATCATGTTATGGGATTCTAAGTCTAGAGATAAATACAAGAAATATCTTTTCACCGGCGAATTTCTTCCAGATAATATTCTGAGAAAGGAGAATTATGAGAAATACCTTATCTTCCCGGTTCAGAAGAATTATGAGAAAGGAGAAGGGGGTGGGCAAAAAAAGATCCTGGTATTCATTATTTCATGATGACTAAGGAAATTAAATATGGTGCATCTAATTTTAGGTGAAGTTGGCAGAAGACATCGTGGCTCGTGGCTCTTTAACCACCTTAAACAACCAGCTTCTTCAGACTCCAAGTCAGCACCTGAACCCACACAATAATCTGCGCAGATCAGCGGCCCACGTGTCTCCATCCATTCCAGTCCAGGGAAACGATGCCTCGTCATATACTGCCTCCATGACGGTTGGTGCTCAGAATCCTGGTCTTTCACTTGAGAACTTAAATATCACCACTAACAGTTTCAATCCCTGGAATCTCAAGTGATGCTGCGAGCCATGCGACTGATCGATCATAGATGTTTAATTTGGATCCCATGACGGTTTCTTCACTCAGGTTGACAGCATTTGCTTTATAATTTAATATATATGTCTTGTCTAATATTTAGGTTGGAGAGTCGAGTGGTAGAGTTGGTCTGCTAAATAGAAGTAGAGATCGAGTTCATTATAAATAAATTTGGGGGCTTTCTTTTTATTGAGAATGATCCACTACTTATTTATGCATGATTGACTTAATTTACTTGTATTCCGAGCAAACTCGGCCATTATTCAGTCTTAAAGTACGTATGATTGGATTGATCATGTGGTTGTTTTCTCTTCATGCGCGTCTGTTCCATCAAAACAGGAGTCCTTTCTTTTTCCGTTGTGCTTCGTTCTGCACATACAAAAGAACTTCCTTGCTTTTCTATTCCCTTGTATCATTCCCGTCTTTATGTTGTTTCGGGTTTGGTAGGTTCCTTAAACTCACTGATGATAGTGACAATGATAATGGATTGCAAATTTGTTCAAATTACCATTCCAGAATGATATATAATTAGCAATCAAACCTCCTGATGCAGTCAGGTAGTGCTGTTGATGTAATATAAAAAAAATCTGCTACATGAGGGAGAGACCCGCTTTGGCAGTTGGCTGCGCTGCTGCCCTTTTCGCCTGACTTTTATAAGAAAAATAAATATAATACCATCTCTGATCCATGATCTAAGAGCTAGATAACTTAAAAAAATTAGTTAAATTAATTAATTATAACAAATGTGTATTGATGTTTTAAAATTACACTATTTAATCATGTATATTAAAACTATCATTTGCTTGAAATCCTTTGCATTAAACAGGAATATTTTAAAGAAAATATTATAAATTAGAAAGATAAAATAAATTGAGTTTTTATATTTAAAATAAAATATAATTTCGGACTAATTTTTATACTAAAGTGGAAATGGGATAAATTTCCGCATTGTTTGGTGACATTAAGAATTATATACGGACACATTATTGTGTATATATAGTACACAACGTAATTAAGGAAAGTTGAGAAAACAGGTGAGGACGTGAGGTTGGATGGGAAAGTCAATGAATAATAATGATGAGCATTGTTCTGAAATCCTGGTGAATCCTGCGTGCAGCATTTGAGCATTACCAACCCACCTGACCGCCAATTACTCCTCATCAACAGCCAATCAATCTTATGTATGTCTTCTTCTTTTTGTTTTTATTTTAATTATGATAAATTTGATCAATCCAAACACTACGGACAGAACAAGTTAAAAAAGAAAAAATCGATTATATTATTTGGAGGGACTGATCGATATCTTTGTGGAGCAAACCTGCACATATATCTCTTGAAACATCCGAATAGAAACATCCTGCGGCAACACATAAAACATCGGAGTAAAAACATACTGCTGCAACACACTCGCATGTTCTCGTCAGAATCTGTCTCAGTGCCAATCCTCTGTTACAGCTTCACACACATATCGAGAATAGTCTGTGGAATTCAACAAATAAAGCCTTTACAAAATCGGAGGAATATTTTCCTCTCCTTTTCCTTTTTTTTTTTTTTGCCCTTTCAGATTGATCTGGCTCAAGGATTAATACGGATGCAGCAATATAAACAAGTCAAGACTTTAAGAATAAAGTCAATACACGTTTTTCTTAGGATCATCTCCAACCCTAACATTAGAGAATTAATTTTAGCCAACAATATCCAACCACCACAATTAGGCTTAATTAGTCAAAACTCAACTCACTAACGTACTTAATAGTCAATCCTCCATCTTTCTCCGGAAGATCAAAAAGGTCTGGCAACCTATCGTGCGAGGGGGACTAAGCCCCACAATGCCATCACATCAGTGACCAATTTTTTATTTTAATTATTATCCCTGTCTTAATTAAAACAGGAGATAGTAATATATTTAAGTGCCATGTATGTAATTTCAGTCCAAAAAAAAAAAGTGTCATGTATGTAGCTCATTTAGGCCCCCCACGTATCGTATATTTACAAATAATATGTTACCATAAATTTTATATTTTATGTGGTTCACACAAATTAAATAAAAGTATAAATCTAAATAAAAATAAAATAAAGGGATGTACGTTATATTATAACATTACCAATTCGATTTTAATATAAGACCCAATTATTAAGTTAATTTTGGTCATAAATAGAAGATTTATTTTTCATATTTATCAGTTTTTTCTAAATTACCTATATGGATACTCTTTTAACCATAATCAAATAAGTGAAGGAGGAAATATATTAAGAAAGATGATTATGATATTTTAAAAAAACATATAATATTTTTTATAATTAACTAATTTTTTAATTTTTTTAATCTAATCAAATTAATTAAAAAAATCTTATATTAAGAACTGGTATAAGATATGGCATATTTTTGCTTTCTATTTTTAATCCTTGCTTCCGGGTGGATACACACACCAACGAACCTTTGTAGTTTGAATGAATGCATATAAAAGCCGCTCGTACGTGGCACTACCGATGAGCTGCACCTTGGTCAATGCTTTGACGGTTTCAAAATCAATGGCTTGTGATATAAGCACGTCATCAGAGGGAGCGCAGTCGGCAATGTGGTTGGTTGGAGTAGCAGGTCCCTGCCGTCACACACTCACACACGACACGGACGATTAAGAAAAAAAAAGAAAAAAGAAATAATTAACAAAAGGTTGAATGGGGCATATTTATGATGTTAGATGAACACCGAGAAGAAATGAATATCAATTAGTGTCTGTACCTCCTTCGTATTTTAAGAGTTGCGTAGTAGCTTTGTTGGCGGCAATTCCATGGCGCCTTCGAAGCTCCTCGTTCTTCTCGCGTTTTTCCTTGCCCTAGTTTCCACCCGCATTAGGGCCGATGTTTCCATCGATGGAGGCGGTGGACAGGATGGGTCTGTTAGACTGACTGGAGTCGACAGCGGCTCTGATTCTTCGGCTGTTGAGATCGAATTGGATCAACTCAAGTCTAAGATCCAAACTCTAGGTCAGTTCTCATTTGAAGTATTCAAATTAGGTTTTCTTTTTTACCCTCCTTTGTTTGCTTGGAACGATTTTTAGTTTTACTATTCAGTTGCTGATAAAATGAAAGGCTAAAACAAGAGAGTAAATTTGAGAAAAGTTGTTGATGATTTTTGCCCCTTGGGAAGTTGGGACAATGCCTTTTTCATGTTCATTCAGATAGTTCAGTGTCTGTTATCGCAACTATGGACGCAATTTCTTCAGAGAAGAAAAATCATTGAGTTTAACTCGGTTTTTTAATATATAAAATTCAGAGCGAGTGATGGGTGGAGCTTTAGATTTTGAAGATTTGAGTGATTTTGTCATCTGGGTGAATAAAAATTGTTTTTATGTCTTACGAGATTGATGAGATATCATCTTGTGTGTTTATGCATGTGTGATTCAATGCTTGTAAAATAGTTTTGCGATTTATGCTTGACCTCCTACGAGGTGGCTTTTGATTCTTTTTTATTATGGCTAATGGTTTCTAATTTTATTTGAAGAATCTCAAATCAGTGAAAGATCTCAAGAAGTGAAGAAAAAAGATGTAATAATAGCAGAAAAGGAAAACATTATTCAAGACAGCTCAAATACTATTGAGTCCTTGCAGAAAGACATTGCTGCTCTCCAGGTAAAGGCTTGAGGAGCCTAATTTTATCGTCCTGTCTTTTGTTTTCAATTTACCATGGAAATGTTGATTATCGTGTTACTTCAGTTCAAAGAATGCAAGTGGTGGGAGTATAGTTTCTCTCTTTCTTTCTTCATCATGTTACTCTTAATTCAGTTCTAACATTTTGAAACACTGTTAGGGATGGATTGCATGTCCTAAACTATGTTGTAATGTCAGTCTAGTTGCATCCCAAGGGCTCCTTTAAACTTATTTTGTACTTTTTCATTCTTTTCTCCCAGAAAAAGGGAACATCAGATGCTGAGGAGCAGGTTGGGAAGGCTCATGCACGCGCTGATAAACTGGAAAAGCAGGTCAGATATGGATTGGTTGGATTGTGAAATTTTTCTACGACTCATTATACCTAACTCAAAATATTGTCTATATAGGTTGACAAGCTAAAAAGGGAACTAGAATTACAGAGCAAGGAAAAAGTGGCCTTGGAAGCTCGGGTAAATGATGCTGAGAAAAAAATTCGTGACTTGAACTCAAAGCTAGCAGATGTAAGTTCAGTGTTTGTCTAGATTGTTTCTATTCTGCTCCAATCATATCCTATATTTGTAGTGTTTTGGGAATCAATTTCTTATATTCACTATTGAAATGGAAAGATATGGATCTGTGTATTTGTTTTTCTTGGCGTCATGTGTCTAAACTTTCTGTTGAAAATACTGATGCTGTATCCCCCCCCCTGGGGTCTATATCTGAGGTTCCTGGCAAGTAGTGGAGGATTTACAGCCATATCCGGTGTATCCTCTTCTCTGTTGTTTCCATGAGGGAGAGCTTTCAGGGTAATGGGGAAATTACTGGTTAGACTAAGCCTGATGCCAAACTCCCTTTTCGATTTTGCTTGTGTGTTACTAGAACATAAGCTCTGCTATTATCATAGTTTCACTATGCTATTTATTGCTGTTGGTTGTTGATGATTCTTCTATCATTTGAAAGGTAGTAAAGGATAAGATTGATGGTTGTGACCCAATCATCTCAAATGGTAGCATGGCAACACTATAGCTTATTGTTCACCAAACCAAGTTAATAATTTTAATTCTAAATAAAAAATTGACTGAGGATGATATGGTGACTTGAGGAGTAAAATCTTAACAGCTTCAAAAGATTAATGAAGATCAGAAGGTGGTGATTCGTAAATCAGAACGTGCTCTTAAAGTTGCTGAGGTATGGTAGTGCTTTGGTTTTCTTCTCTTCATTATGCAAGGTGCTCCGTGACAATTTTGATGGCTGCTTTTCTTTTTTGAATTAATTTTATTTAGGAAGAAATGGTGAAGGCAAAACTTGAGGCAACATCCAGAAGAGAAGAGCTGTCACAGGTAATTACTCGTGCATACATCTAAATTATTATCATTCGGAGATGCAGTGGTAGACAGTTGCCGATCTTTGAATTAGTTCAGGCTAATTGCCATGAGCGTGCTTGGTGCTAGAAATAGTTTTTCAACTGAGTTAAACGAAGTAAAACCTTGCATGAGTGACAAGAAGTTCACCTATGGCAGCTGGGATTTGAGGGAAGTTTTGCAAATAACAAGTTGCAGCGCTCTGATACTTGATTACAGCAGAATCACTTGTTACTTACTGATTGAATGCTATCATGGAGGTGGCAGAGATGACTGCCTATTTTGCGAACCATTGTTGTCTGCTAGCTGATTTAACTTGAGTGCCTTGCTGTTGTGATACGGTTGGCTTGCTTTTGTTGATGTGATTATCCGAGGAAAAAGAATCAATCTTAGGAGTAGAAAGTTATTGAGCATATAGCATGATATCATACATGAGAGCTTAGACGACATCATGTGGTCACTGAGCGGGAGCATGATATCAAGGTGAGTTTGGCAGTTATTCTAACTCCGCGGATGACCCAAAGAAAAAAAAATTGGGCTCTTGACCACATGGTTAGAATAGATATATGCATACGTGGGGTGTCATCCTTGGTTCAAAGTTCATAATAAAGTGATCCAAAAGTCTGTTAGGGGATTTATAGACACGTCTTGAGCCAGTATAGCACATTTCTAGCGTCTTATTAATGATTCTAATTCTGTTTCACTCAAGCAGCTGCGTCATGCGGCTAGTTTGATGGAGAGATTTGAAAATCTCTTTCAGTTCTCTGGTGAATATTGATCGTATGAACAATCTTTTTGGTATGTATTTGGCATCTAAGTGATGTATATTGACTAATTGATCAGGCTCATGGCGCTTGGCTTCCACCTTGGCTTGCTGTGCACCTAGTCCATTGTAAGGTGAGTTGACGTCGGATCCATCATGATACTCTGTGAAAGTGGCTCTTAATGGGTTCTGATTTATTTATTTATTTTTGCTAGTCCTTCGTCGAGGCTCATTGGAATGAACGTGGGAAACCTGCTTGGGAAATGATTTCTCAGAAGGTAGTTAATTGGTTTCTGTTGATACAAGTGACACATTTAATCAATGATAGATCATTTATTTAATTATTTTAAATTTTAATCACTACAACAGACCCTAGAGAAGAAGGCACAAGCTGAAAAGTGGGCTCAACCGCATGTGGAAACCATGAAAACTGTAAGTAATTTATTCACGAGGACAAAAATGCAAATTAGCTTTTGTTTCTTATAGGTATTTCGTTTGTTATTTCTAGATATGCTTCTGTTTATTCATGTGGGGATAATGGAGTAATGATGTATTTTTAAGTAGTTCATTATCTAGAAAGTACCTTCTACTCCAACGACCATGACCAGTGTGTAGAAGATGAATTCCCTTCAGAGTATTTTGTTTGGTTTACGTGTACTGCAATATTATCATATGGAAGTTGCTTTGGTTTGTATATGTGAAAGCTAGTTGATTTGTTAAATACCCTGGTCCAATTGAATTATGTTCCCTCTAATTCTCTCTTCGTCCACTTCAAGAAATGGGTCCCTGCTGCAAAAGAACAGTGGTCTGTGGTGAAAACAAGTGCTGAACCTCATGTGCAATTATTAACTGCAAAAACAGTTGAATCTTACAAGGTAACAAAAGATGCAGTTACTCCGCACTTTAACAGGTTGCAAGAAGTTGTAGATCCTTATTATCAGGTACATGCTTCACCATTTTTTCCTTAAGATTTCCCCCATGCGGATGTGTAACTTGGGGTTTTTTCTAACGAGTGACAGGAAGCTAAAAAGTTCACAAAGCCATACATTGATCAGGTTGCTGTTGCTGCCAAACCTCATGTTGATAAAGTACAAGTGGCTTTGAAGCCTTACACGAAGAAGGTTATTCATGCATATGGGAAATTCCTGGAATCAGCTACTACGTATCATAGCCAGGTATTTTGTTCAAACTTTCCAGGTGCTATCAAATGTTTAGCAAAGCTTGTTGCAATTTCACTGTTGGTGCGAATTAGGCAATGTTTCCTCGTCGGGGATTCATCCCTCTGAATATAAACAAAAACTGACATCGTATTTTGTAATTCTACATTGATTTATTGCCTAAAAGTGAAAAACCGTGCTTTCCCACCCCACCTTTTGTTGTTGGGGTTACCTGTGGGAAGACAATTCTTTTCTTCCATTGGCATGATATTCCAGTACAATAGCATTTGTTGCTTTCTGCTTCTTTGGTGCATGAGTAACATTTAAAATTTAAACTTAACAAGTATTGATCTTTGAATGGTTGAGCTCCTCATGCTTGTGAATAATCTCAACAGTTCAACCAGTTTAAAAACGATATGAAGTGGTTCATAATGTGAAATTCTTCGCCCTGTGTTTGTTTCTTGTCTGACCATAACTAGAAAGTTAGTCAAAGCTTGGTATTATTGCATAATCCGATTTCTGCTCACACGCGCAATTCTTTGTTCCTAAGTAGCCCACAGTTGAGAGACCATAGCGTGATTTTATAGTGATGTTTGAGGGGACCAGTTTGCTTAAATATATTACAATTTTGGACTCTAAAGAGTCCAGTTAACTTTTCTATGGCTGTTCATCAATAAAGGGTCGATCATGTCATGGTATTATGAGTGTTTATTTTATAATTTTTATTCAGGTCCAAGCTACTGTTCGGGAGGCGCTAAAAAAGCATGAAATTACAAGACCTCTGGCTACCAAGGAGTTGGAGTGGTTTGCGGTCTGTATCATGTGATTTTTTGTGTCCTATTTAGTTATTGCTGAAATTGAAAATCGATTATTTGATTGTTTGACAAATGCTCTGTCAACTTGCAGGCCTCTGCTGCCTTAGCCTTGCCTGTTATTTTACTGGCTAGAGTTTTCTCTGCCATTTTCAGGTCAGTCTCTGAAATATGCTTTTTCAAAATTATTATGGTGAATCTGCTTTCCTTGGGTCATATACCTGTGTGCGCGTGGGTGAAATTTGGAGCTGATTCAAGTTCTTGTCTATCTGCTGCAGCAAAAAGGGAAATAAGCCTATTCGGAATGTAAATTCCCACCATGCACGCCGGAAAGCTAAAAGAGGGCATCCAGACAAGTAGATGGCACACCCTTGTTTCCTGCTTAATTTTTAAAAGGGCAGTTAAGGTATGTTTTACCATTATTGAGGTAGATAGCTCTCTATATGCTGTAAAAGACTCTTAAAGCCTGGTTTTATAGTCTGCATTCATAGTTTTATAGTCTGCATTCATATCCACGCTTTGCATGATGTTTGAGATAAGTCACACTTATCATTTCTTGCAGATGGATTTTCCTGGTCTCACGGGCATCTTAGGGCTTTGAGATTTCCTTCTCTTTGGACTCCGAAGCTTCTGCGTTTGGTCTTTGGGAGAGTTTACTTTAATGATGTCACACTTTAGAGCTGGACACGAGTTACTTAGGTGTTCTTGTATTATGGCTGTGCTATATTTGTTATTTTACATTCTTTCCTGTTGAGTTTAGATTCTTGACGTAGTGAATGTGTCCACGTCAAATATTTATTCATCGTAATCAGAGTCAGATGTGGTTGTTGAAGATATCTGATGGAATTTGAAATATGAGAAAAGAATCTAATTTACAGCTTGTTCTTCACCCGTTCACCGCAGCTTCAAGTTACCATTCATGTCATGTGGATTTGAGTCTCGTGATTATCCCTTGAATATTACAAACCCCTTAAACCATTGTAATTTCAGCGCCTTTAGGCCATGACTGGACAACTCAAACTAATGTTAAGCCGACTGGTACCGACACAAGCCAATAGCCAATGGGTAGACTACAACTTTTCTTTTTGTTGCAGAGATCAGGGTGGCGGATAAAAGTGAGAGGGCAAATTATGAGATTTTTATTTGTTCCTTATTAATTTGTTAATTTAACACAAATAAGATTTTTTTTTTTGGGGGGGCAGCCAGTGATGTGAAAGAGGGTATAATATAAAATAAGTTGAAACATGGTGACAAGTATCAATTCAAATCAGAGGGAGTGCTGTGGGAGTTTTTGTTTCTGAATGTAATTGGGAGAGAAACTGGTTCTTACTGCTGACGAGGAACGTTCTTTGCCTCAATATGTTAATGACTTCTCTTTTTTCAAAAAATATGAATTGAATCATACGTCCAAATCAACAATTTACAATTTTTACTAACGAGGCTCACATTTAGTGGAGGATAGTATAAAAAAAAAATAGTTTACATTTTGGCAAAAAAAAAAAAAACGGTTTACATGTTAGCAAAGGCATTGCATATCCTCCTTTTCATTAAACCAGAAACGAAATTCTCCATCCAACAATGCGAGCGCGTAGTGCTATTGGTACGTTCTCAAAGCCGTTGGGCGGAAAACAAAGTACGCAGAAGCTGTTTTTGAAGCTCGAAACAATCTTATCCTAACGAAAGAAAGTTAAAACAGGATCAAAGGAGGAAAAAACAAAAAATTGCTGGTCTATAATTTGAGTGCTCGAGGTATTTCCTTTATTTTAAATTATTACCGCAACTCCAAACCAAATCTCTCATCTCTACCCAATAGGAGACGTTCCAAACCGTAGCTCAACCCTCAATGATGCAAGTGGCGGCGGTGCAATTTTAATTCATTTTATAAAAATTAATAAAATTAGTTGTTTCTTGTAGAATATTATTTTTTTTGCCAACATTTCTTGTAGAATATTAAAATTACCCTCAATATTTATTAAAAAAAAAGGTACTCTCAATAAACGTTATTAGTCAGAGGAGTTTGGTTAATTAGTTAAAAAGTTACATAGTTAAGATTATCAGGTGAAAAAAATTAATACTTCAGGAAAAAAAACATGTAATATTGTCAAATATGATGAATGTTCTTATAATAAGAACTGAAGAAAGTATATTTTTACACTTTTCTGGCCTTATTTATGAGTTATTTCTAACATGTTACACAGACACTAAGAAGATTAAAACCTTAAAGTTTATTAACTCTCATTTAAGATTAAATAACTTTTTAACTTTATCTCTATTTAATACACATTATACTTTATGTAAACAAAATCAACATAATAATAAATAACAGATAAAATTGTACATCTATACAAAAACTTTCTCTCAATGTCCTATAAATATTAAAAAATATCTTCTCTTTGCTCTATAAATAAGACCAGAAGAGTATTTGTTTTTGGTTCTTTACTTTATTTTTTGATGAAGCAAGAGTATTTTCTATCAAGATGAACAAAATAATTTTCCATATACAAAAGTTGAAATCAAATTTCTAACTAGTTAGCTTGAATGAGTTTAATTTATAATTAATATATTTGATTATTTTGACAAAAAATAATAAGACACCTCATTATGCTGTAAATTGTCGTGTACTTCATGAGCGGCAGTAGACCGAAAGACACTTTATGAACAAACGTAAATTTTCATTCAAGGTACATAAAGATCTATGAGTGTTAACAAATTAATAGGGTAAAATTACGGAATATTTAGGAATTAAGAAAATTGTAATGCATCGAGTTCCTATTGTGCATCCCAAGTATGTGATAATTTCAACATAGGCTATGCTTCCTTTGCGTATACTCTCATCATTAATCTTCAATATATCATACATATAAAGTAAAAAGTATATATGCGGTGAAAAATTAATTTTAAGGAACCTGTTTTATAAGGGACCGAATTCCTAAAGTGTTTACTTCTTAATTCGAAATTATTAATATATGCAAATGCAAATATCAACCGTTAAAAAAGAAAACGATGATGAAATTCATACAGCTTTGCACGTCAACCATCAGAAACGAGGGAGAATAAGTATGTAGAAATATAGCTAGCATAGCAGTGATCCCCAAATTAAATGAGATTATAAAGAAAGTTCAAGAAGCTAATTAAAAACTTGGTGAGGAACAATACTATGATTGCGAGCATTTACTCAGTACGTAGTTGATCAACTTCTGTTTTGAGGCCTGAACCCAGTTGATCAACTTATAAGAACACTAGAAAAAGCACAGCCTTAAGGCACAGATCAGACGATATCCAACTACACAGTTACGTACATATATAATAAAATTTTTCGGTAAAACTAATAATTGATGAACTTCTTCCATATGAACTTAGTAGGAAGGCCAGTAGTTATCTAAATCCACACAATGGTCCATCCCAATGAACCTGTTGCTTGGACCAATGTTATTAGGGTTGCTCATTTCTGCAGCACCGTACCCCACATGATCTGCTCCATTGAGAGCACTCCCTGCTGTCATCATGTTGGAGCCCGCATCATGGGGGTTCATCGGCCGGAAAACAGGTAGCCCGGTGGTTCCTCCTCCTCCTCCTCCGGCGAGATTCAAGTTGAGGCCGGAAATCGTAAATCCTCCTGCTGCAGCTGCCGGAGGATAATTGAACTGGGCATGGGATTGCATTGGAAGGTTGAGAGCAGCGGTAGCAGCAGCCCCTCCTCCTGCTCTCAAAACCCTGGCAACCTCTGCAATGTCAGAAGCACTGTTGACATAGTTCCTTCCGTAGAGGAAGTGAGCAGAATTAGGATCCGCCACATGCATCATGGAAGGTCCCATAATGTTAGGAGCTATGTCCAGGCTGTATGGATTCACTCCTCTTGTGTGATTGGAAGGGTACTTTTTGGCTCCACCGCTCTTCTGGAAAACTCTGCAAACCACCCATTCGTCCTGCTGATTCAATTGCACAGTTCATATGAAAGTTAGTGTGTATAATATATGTAGCTTTGAACGTATAACTGATGTTTGTATGGGTACGAGGAAGGAGGTTAGAAAGCGCGAGAATCTATATGAAATACCTTGTTATGTAGTCTGAAGGAGGATTTTGAGTGGATACGATATTCGTGCATGACCCAGTTGGTTTTCTCACCTCTGGGGGCTCTTCCTTTGTAGAAAACCAGAGTCTTTTTCATGCCGACCAACTCCGATGTAGCACTGTTAAGGATTTCCTTGTCTTTTCCGGTGGTCTTCCAGTAGCCTGTGTTGGTCGCCCTGTTGGTTCTCACGCCCGTCGGGTATTTCCGATCTCTCAGACTGAAGAAGTACCACTCTTTCTCTCCCATCTTCGCCTTCCCTTTTTTATCCCCACGATTCATCACATGCACATAACATATATATAAATATCAAGCTAATAATCCAACATGTACTAACACCAATCTTTTACCCTTAATTTGTTCATAATATATCTGCCCAACTAGTATATATAACGAGAAAGGCTAGCATCCGCCTCATGCAAAGTCTCCCAAGAAGAAAACCTAGATGGTGCGCGGTTTTAAATTGACGAATAAATCAAAAGATACGAGCGGATCAAGGAGTTTAGAGACAATAATCAAACGAGAAAGGTGTACGCAAGTACCAGGGAGTTCCCATGGCTCGCATTTGTTGAGATCGACATCAGTGACGGCTCTTGCAGTAAAGGAAGAATCAGAGATCTTGTTGATGAGATAGCTAGTGATGAGTTCTTCATCTGTGGGATGAAATCGGAACCCAGGAGGTAGGGTTTCCTCCTTCGTCCCACTTCCTTCCATTTCCTTATCCCTCCCTTCTTTCCTTGCTTCCTTCTCTTTCTTCTGTTCCACACATAAACCCACAACATCATCATTTCATGTCTGCATATTGATTCATTAACTGCTCAAGAGCTTCTATATGAACAAAATCCCAGGCGATGAAGTTCCACATCCCCCCCCTATATTCTCTAATACAAGAATCAATATATGACAATTGAAAAGAGGATTTAATTAGAAGCAGAGGCTTACTTGCATGGAGTGGAAACTCTTGTTCAAATGGGGTCTTGATGCTTTATAATTACTGTCTTGATCTTTCATTCACTTCCAGAAGAAATTCTGACTTGAGGGATACTGCAACGCATATGAAAAGTTTCGAGATGACCAAGGGCGGGTTTCTTAGCTAGGAGCAATCAATTAGCATGCTTGACAAGTCAAGGGAATTTAAGCTTGGCGCCGGGAAAAAAGAAAAAGAAAATAACAGGGAAAAAAAATGGAAGAGTGTGTTTAAGAAGCTATTACCAAATGTGGGTCTTCACATTCAAGTTGCATGCATTAGCTGTGTAATTACCCAGAAAGTTACATCCATCGCCAATTTCAATTCAATGACCATCTTGCCCTCCTTATCATGTGTATATGATTAAATTGTTAGTATTGATTTTATGTATTGTGAATTTCCAATACTAATATATATAACTGGAAGAGCAGGCGGTAAGAAGGAGCGATGAGAAGAGGCGTGGATTTCAGAGCCGGGAATGAGCGTTCAAGTCAATCATGCACACGTGATATGGTGGGTCCTACTTCCTACCTACTAAGATGAGTGATTTCTGTTCTTCCAATGGGGAACTACCACGTCATCGAAAGGGACGATCTATATGGAGTGTGATGTGGACCGCGTTGCATCATAATCGAAAAGTCAAACTAGACCATGAACCGACGAGGAACAGGATCCCGGAGTTCCCTGAGGCGCCAACCAAAAGGCAAAACACTAAGGCCGTGTTTGGCATGCAAGATTTTTCTTTCAAGAGATCCAACATCGTCTCTCTCTTGGCCCTTGACTTGTTATAATATGCTTTTGATTTTGCGTCCTTATTTCTTCCTCGTCATGATACACTGTTGACCCACTCACCTGTTTTAGGGCATGGAAACGCTTTCATATTGATCATTCTGCATATACCGCCTTATGCATGTGATCCAACTTTTCTTCACATTTGATTGATTTCTTTTTCCCCTCTCGTTCCTAAGGACGAGGCCAATCTAAATCTGCAAATAAATTATAAGTTGCAGAGAAAGAACAATAAATTAAGACCCGTGTATTGACCGATTAGCATTTTATAAATGATTTTGTGTGAGGACCATTTGTGTGCTTTGACAAATGAGAGGACACGGGAAGGAAGATTTGCAGAGACTTGTTTGAAGAACAAATGTCACATTATCGTGAGTAGTATTGGTAGGTATTTTACTGAAACGTGATTTCGCACTTAAGCCTGAGGTTTAATTTTTCATTTGAACTCGAGACATTTAATATAAAAATATATTCCAGCTCCTTCAACTTGAGGCTGCTGCATTAAGTCGTCTTTGTTGAGCTGCCTCTTGTCCAACAGACGTTTAGCACACCTTTCCCTTTTGCCCTGAACAATGATGAATCTCTATTAGGGATATTGAAATGTCGCGTATGTTTTTATTACGTTATATGACAACCAAACATTAATAATTTTCAGATTTGTCTAATCTGCGTTCTACGTGACAAGTTTACAATACTTCTGACAAATATTATTCACTTGTAACGGTAAAATATTCTAATTAACTGTTTTATTAAATTTGGCGAAATTACATTTTATACGTTTTCAACTCACAATTTGGACCCTACTCACTTGTTTCGAATTAGATGCATGGGTGCATATATGGGATATAAGATTATAAACTTGTAATCTCAATGGGCCGGCGTTTACTGTTATGTATTCTTTATCTTAAATTTAACCAATTCTAAATCCAATTAACGTCCTTATATATATAATTAACTTCACTGTTCGATGTCTTCTATTTTGTTATTATATATCTTTAACCACAAATTTGAATGCTCATGTGTACGTGAGCGATGTTGCACGAAAGACGACTACTCTTGTTAATTAGTCTTGCAGTGAAGAAGCCGCCATTGATGATTCATTAGGTAGCAGACAGGTGAAGCCTTTAGAAATTTGACATGTAATTCAATACATACGTTCACGCCACCAGTCACCATGTTCACAAATTCCTAAAGAGTTTACTCTACGTACTTCTTTTTCCACTTCCTTCTCCCAAGTTGTATTGCTCTCTTCTGAAACTGAAAGGAAAAAAAATACTAAATGAAACATCAAAACTAACGGGCCTCTTAATCATTCACTTTGAAATGTCTTTACATGCATCTCTTAACAAGTGAAAGTTATCTCTACCGGCCATCAGAAATCCAATAGCTAGCAGAACTCAGTACGCATACAGATAACACGTACGTGAAGTCCTCTACGTGCCTTTTGATTGATATTGTCCTTGATCCATCGAAGTTATGATCACGTTTGATTAATTAGCTTGTTGATGCTCATCATAGGACATGAGGAGCAGAGTGCAAGAGTTTTTCGTCTCCTTTAATTTTCTGCATAATTAGCGGGCCATTTATAAGTGTACAAATGTACCATTATGAACCAATATTGTTGTTAACTTACAGTGAGGTAAAGTTAAACAATGGCCAAATGATAGATTTCTTCGGAAAGCAGTTTTTTCTGATTCCAATTTTAATGCAGTGTGATTAATAACTAATTTTGTCTTCAGATCTCCAAAGTCACGTTTACGTGTTCCATAGACAGGTTAATCTGTCGGGATAACATGAATTATACTTGTCGTCTCCTTTAATTAGTCGTTAATCCTTTTCAAAGGTTGGGTTAGTTATGATATTGGAAAGATTCATAGCTCTGTCATTTTGATATAACAAATAATGTGTTTCAGAGCTCAAGTCTGTGTACGTATACCCTATCAAAATCAATTGCGCTTACTTATCACACACTTCACATAATCTAATCTAAGGTGTCTCAGTCATGTTTACCCGTTCGCAAAACATGGATTCACACTAGCTAATCTTCACGATGAAGCCTCACTTGTTCAGGACATGATTGGAATACGAGGATGTGACACAAGAGTGACGGCAGAATTGGCAAAAATTATTAATTAAATTCGTGACTTCAAAAACACAGACAATCATATTTAAGGACTCTCTTGTCCTTCTTATCTACATGCTATATGATTATTATCTCTTGCATTGTTCAGCATAAAAGTATGTCTCAGTACGATAAAAGAAAATTCATCTAAGAAAATTAAAAGATCGCCCGTGGAATAATTAATGAGTTCATCCATTAATTGCATAACTTCACATATATGCATCAGTCTAATCTGCAGCTGTGGCCTGTACCAGAAGAAAGTGAATTAAGAGATGCAATTCTGCAAGGTAAAAGGAATCAATTAAGTTACAGCAGCAAAGTAGCCAGTAATTATATAAGCGATGAAATTATGAAATGATGAATTATATATTGCTTTGTTTTAACTTTCCATCTCTATAATTCATTTAATTTCAACTGGCCCAACCTTAACATGGATTAGATCCGGATAATTACTAAGTACATGTCGTGAGAATCAATCTAGAATATATAAATGACAAAAGCAGTTGTTGGACGGATATATAGATTCAAGAGAAGAGGAGAAAGACCAGAATTGATTGCCGGCTTAACCAACAATAATGACCTACTTGTTCTTCACTTAAAGATCATAACAGTATTATATGTTATCCATATCATTGCGTTCTTTATAAAACTTAATCATCTCTTTTATGCAAAAGGGATAAAACTTTATGCACTTAGGCAATGATAAATTAAACATGATAAAGCCCAAAGATTCAAACGCAGTGCTAGCGATATCATGTTAGGTTGTGTGTCTTCTTTTTGAAAATGGCTTACACATATGCACTTTCATGTATATATAAAAGGCTATGGAAACTGGTTTATCATTGAATTGAGTAATCAACTACGATCACAAAAGTAATTGATGACGGTATCTGTAATCTTTTTACCTTCAGAGCATCTATATTCAATATTCATTGCTTTCATTATTATCATACACTTCGAATATTATAGCGATCGAAAGTGTCTCTCTATCTCTAACCTGAATAGTTTTCTTTGCTCTACGCACAACCTGCAAAGTACTCCTTCGATCAATTAGGAAAGGAGTTCTAAATTCAAGCAACGTTGCGGTCTAGAACACTTCTTATTCTAATTAATGCTAAGAGTAAAAAAAAAAAAGTATAATTTAAGTTTTCTCATGCATTAATTCCCCCAAGTATATTAAATAAAAAATCATTATCTAATTGCGTATTTGACATTATATATCTTAGACACGTCTCTGATTATGTTTCCCCATCAAGATTGTTTTTAAATGAGAATAGTTATAAATTTTTCAACGAATTTTTTGATTGATGGTGAAGTGGTTGACGGGTATTTGTCATATGGAAAAGGCGAAGCAAAACCCTAACCCTAAATAAGGTTTTAAGCCAAGTCATACTTGCAGAGCTATACTTGTCAAGCACTTCAAAATAAAATATTTAGACTGCAATACTGCCAAGTATTTAATTAATGAATAATTCACACCGAAACGATGAAACTAAAATATGTATAATGCATTAATCAGATATGAATTCGTATAATTCTTATCAGAAATAATAGATATTCAGAATGCCAGAAACGACCCATAAATTTTACTGGCACAAAGTTTGTTTCCAAAAGAGTACGTCCTATACATATACATAGGTATATATATATTGACAAGAGTTGGTTGCTCTTTAACAGAAACGATTTCATATCCAGTTGCCCCCTATCAGATCAGAAAAGCATATATGTGTGTGTGTGTGTGTGTGTGTGTGTGTGTAGGCTTCAGTAGAAATTTGCTCGCCACAGTGACATTTCTAGAACTTGGCTGCGAAGCCTTTTAGAGGAATGATGATATATGAGCGTTTTCTTGCAGGTGTTGTTCAATCTATGAACAGATATGTTAGGTTGGAAAAAACTGGCGAAGCTTGCTACGTGTAAGAGTGCGTTTTCTTGAAAAGATATGTTGTTTCGCGGATCGTGAAGTGTCCCAAACTCAAAAGACTATTTTCTGTGCACGTTTCCTGGGCAACGAATTTAAGGAACAGTTTGAGGATCCTGGACAAGGAAATCATACAGCACACTCTTGTATATAATAGCATGCATATGCATATTCTTTCAATGGGATAGCCAGACCGATATGCCTATTTACTTGCTGAAGTAATTGTTTTTTTAAAAATACATGTATATATATGACCAAAGTTATCTGAGACAACGCAAATTGCAATTTTCAGATAGCTCATGTTTTATCTGCTGAAACGCCGAGTTTTAGTATCCAAATGCTAATACTAATAGTCATGTTTAGTTCTTTTTTTTAGTTAATTCCGATCATAATCAATATTCTATTCCCCCCTTCCACTTGTTCATCACTAAGGGCCTGTTTGGGTATCCCAAAACCGTTTCAATGTAATACATATTTGCTTCGTAATCCGTAAAAGCACTTCTGAAACCATGTTTGATCCAAACACACCCTAAA